GGTCTTGAGTAATCTATGCAGAAGGGATACATTTTATAGTAATTAATTATTATTACACTTTATTTATATAATCTAAATGGTTTGAACTGATAAACGTGATTTATAAATCAACATTTATTAAAAAAAACAATAAATAATATTCTAAAAAATTGTTTTTAATAAAAAATAACTAAAATCAGAAATTATATTCTCCCCGGATAGAAAATAACCTATCTTTACTTTCTTTTGATATTTATTATAATCTATATAAAATAATTGAAATACAAAATTTTGTTCTTACATGAAGAAGGTGACCCATTTATATTTAAAAGTAAAATTATTTTTATATAAAAATTTTAATTGAATTAAAATCTAAAATATTATTCTATTTTCAAATTAATTTAACTATAAAAACTTTAAATATTATGTATCAAACTAATAAGGAAAATTATTTATATAAAAATATTTGATTAAATTACACATAAAACTACTTAAAAACAGAAAAGTAGACAATCCATTTATAATCAACTTCTTTTCCTTAAAACATTAATGTGTTATTTTAAATAGGATTAGCTAAAATTTACGTTACTTTACTTATATTTATTTAATACACCATTATTTAATTTAATATTCATAGTAAATGAATAAATATTAAGGACCTTGTTCTAACTTATCTTCACAAAAATTAAATAAGAAAGTAATATAACAACATCTAAAATTTAGTCTGAAGAAAGTTGCTGTAAAACCCTCAAGTAAATCGGTGCAATCAACAATTTAAAGAAATTTGGTGATTTTTAAAGTTGTGGTAAATCAACATATAAAGTAATTTTAGATAACCTTTTTAACTAAACTTCTTCTAGAAAAAAAGAAGGTGATAAACTAAGAAACGACAATTATAGTAGAGTTAATAGATAATAAAAAATTGATAATTAATTAAGAAATGAAATTTAATATAAAGATTATTTTATTGGTGAAATTAAGGATATTATAAGTAAAGAGAAATGTTCTTAAAATTTAAAATAAATGTGCATTGATTAAATAAACTAAATCTATAAAAATGTAACTTACAAAGATTTATACTTTAATTCTAAGAAATAATTACATAATATTGTTTTAACTAAGAAATATTCAATAGCTATTGATTTAGATGAAACGCTTGTACATTCTGAAGAATTAAAACCTAATAGAAGATATGATTTTTAAAACTAATAATTTGGAATCTTTATTAGACCATATTGCTAATAATTTTTATAAATTTTAAACAAGTATGCTAATTTATTCATTTTTACATCTTCAAATATTAAATATGCTACAACTGTAAATATTAATTAATAATTTATTAAGATAATGTAAATCTTAGATCCTTTAAAAGAAATATTTCAAGGACTCTTTTTTCGAGATCATTGTACAATCTTATAAGATAATACCTAAGTCAAAGATATCAAAATTATTAGTAATGATTTAACTAAAATAATCTTGATTGATAACAATCCATAATGTTTTATGTATTTGTACATATATATTTTAAGTCCCTAACCTTTTAATGGAATACCTATTATACCTTTTATAGATAATAAAGCTGATAAAGAACTCTTAATTTTATCTGAATTTATATAGCATGAAATCTTCAGTGCAGAAGATGTTTAATAAGTTATTAAGAGATTCTTTTAATTCTAATAATTTCGATAATTTGAGAATGGAATGTAAGCTTTTTAGATTCTTTATAATTGATTTTTTGTGGATAGTAATAAAATTTTTGAAAATAATATTGAATTTATTATTATTTCAATTAAATTATTTTTATATCTCTATTTTATAAAGTGATTCTCTTTTTCTGCTCATAAATAATCTATATAAATAAATCTTAAGTGAAAATCACAGAAGCTGTGAGTTATATGTCATTAAATCTTTCAAATTTAATATATTATTTATAATTAATCAATATATATTTCTGTAATTATAACAGTTCATTTAAGAAAGACCATTCATGTATTATAACCAGGCTTAGGTTTAATACCATTATTAATAGTTGTAGTACTAAGGCTAAGTGTAATTAAAATATGATTAATTATTTTGGCAGTTCTAAACCTCCTAAACTTATTTAGCTTCTACCGGTGGTTCATCCTTTAAACATTTACTAGTTTAATTCTCTCTCTCTTCTATTTGTTTTTTAAACCTTCTATTCCTTCTTTCTTTTTTTCCTACTCTTCCTTCATGTTTATATAGTGATAGTATTGCTTTTCCTGTTGAAAATTTGATTCCAAATTGTTTAGCTGCTTGCTTAATTGTACAAGCACCTTATTTAACCTTTTCAATGAATGCTTTCCGAGTGTCAACTGAAATTTTTGCGTATTTCATAGAATCTTAAAATAATTATCTTCAATTAAAGAAAATTGCATTGTGATTATAAATCATTAGATTTAGAATTTAACATATAAATGATAAGTAGTTAATTATAATTATAAGTTAGTATTGATTGAATATTTGAAAATTGCTAGGTTAAAATGTTTATAGAGAAGTAAATTTGAGTTTTCACTAGCCTTTTATTTCAAAATATCTTTTTGGATTTTGATTTATTATTATATTAGAGCATAACTATTTTTAGAAAATATAAATTATTTTCTTATTAAAGTCTTATTTTAATATTAGTAATATCGGTTAATTTGATAAAAAAATAGTTGTTTTAAATACATTTATTTCAACTAAAAATCTTTAGAAGAAATAAATTTTTTGAAAAATTATTGATAATTTGATAATCGACAATATTATTTGAGGAATTAAAGCTATTTCAGTTTTTTCACAATTTATACTATTATTTAAACTATTCTTGTAATTATAGCTTATTGATGTTGAATCTAGTTCTATTTATATAAAATTATATTTATGATAACATAGCAAAGTATTGGATAAAAATATAAAAATAGTATTTCTGTATTATTCTAAAGGGATATGGTAACGTAATATTAAAACTAATATGTTATTATGTCAATATTAATATCAAAATATATTATACTTAAAAATAATTTATGATCATAAGTATAAAATTTTAATTCTTCTTAGTTAAATTTAGACTTGCATAAAAATATATATAATCATAGAATATTGAATGCAGTTTTTAAGGAAGTTCATTTTGTATAAACAATTCATATAAATTGTTAATGATTCATTATAAAAGGTTGAAATATAGACCAAATTATAATTTGGATATTAAATGATAATATTTGCATACAGATATATTTTCATTCATTCTAAATATAATAACAATGAAGTATTCGATTATCTTTTAACTTTAAGATAATTGGTTTGATTGTAAATGAATATAGAGTCAATGTAGGAAGTGACGACTTTAGAAAATATAAATAAAATAAGTTTTGAAAGTGATTGAATATTTACAGTAATAATTATTTTAATTATGATTATTAATTAGGAATAAAAAGAAAATATAGCCATTCAAATAAAATTAATTATTGTTAGGTAATTAAGTAAATAAAATATAGTGGACATAAACTATTATATTTATAAATTTAATTATTAATCAGATTATTATTAATTTATATTAATATTAAAATTTTACAATTGATAAGAGAAGAGTGGTTTAATTTATAAAAATATAACATTTAATAAAGCATATATAATTTTTATATTGAAATACTATTATATTAATAGAAAGAAATTATATTTAATGGATTTGATGATATTTTTGACATATATTTGTGTGTTTTATTATCAAATTATGATTTATATTATAAATTAATAAATCATGAGAAACAAGAAAAAAGCATTAACAAAGGAAGAAATATAATTTTACACTTAACGAAGATTGTAATATACATAAGATTTTTTAAAAATGTCTTAATAATTTGATCCAAAATTAAAATATTTAACAAGACTTCTGATTGCAAGAAAATAGATGATGAATAGTAAAAATAATTAAGCAATGCCATAAAGTAGGAAATGCAATAAAGTATTTGCTTCAATGACTAAATCTTCTGAAATACAAAAGAAAATAGATTAAGGAATGCTTACAGAATCTTGTAAATATAGTTTAGAACCTATGCCAAAATGCAAGTAAAAATATGAATTTAACTTAGTTTTACTTATTCTGATATATGTTCAAGAATTTAAACTTCAATGGTACCTATAGTTGAAAAGCTAGATAAAAATATATAATAAAAGTTAGATACTCAACATCTTCATTTAGATTCAGATAATAAAATTAAGAAAAAGTAACTGTTTAGATCAGATACATTTATTAATGAAGATCAAAGACCAGAAGAATATATAGATTCTATGTAAATAAAAAGTTAGAGATTACACAATATAATTGCAAGTATTTCAATATTACAGAGAACTAAAGCATATTAAGAGTATAATTAAAGAAAATCTTTGCATCATAGACCAATTCATTTATAAATATGTTCAAATGATATATCTGAATAATTGTCTTTGGAAGATGCTTAAGATGGTTAAGAAGGTTCTTATAGTAATTAAGATTATGAAAGGATGATTAAATTTGAGAGAATGAAATTGAAAGAATAATTGGAATAAGATAGAATAAAAAGTTAGAGATTAGATTAGTATGTATAAACTTCACTTCAAAAATTAGGATTATAGAAAAAGATGTTTTCAATGAAAGAATTATAAGAATTTATAAAATAATGTTAAACTTAAACTTCAAATGTAGTAAATGAATATAAAACTGAGAGATAAGAATTTAAAAATAGAAAATCATAATTTTTAAGTTCTTTATTATCTACTAAAAATAATACTTATTCAAATACTTAATCAAGATATAAAAATCTATATTAAGATAGTAAAAAATCTGATGAAAATAGATTTTGTAAAACAGAATATAATTCAAATAAACATTCATTTTAAAATAATAATAAAAGTGATTTAATGAGATTAGGATAATTATCATTGTTTAATATGAATAAAGTTAAAAAACGATTTAACAATTTGCCTTAAAAATTTAAAAATGCTACAAATCGTAATTTATATTGATAATTTGATTATATTTTTCAAAATACTTTTTCTGATGATCCTCTTTAATCTATTATTATTCCATGAAATTTCTCTCTAATATTATGTTTATTTTCCAAAAGACTCTTTAATTCATAGATTGCATTCTAATGTAATCTTTTATCATTTGAAGTCGTATATATTTTTACATTCTATTTAATAATGATTATATAATATACACTATTTTGATCAAGAACAGAAATAATATAAATTTCCTTAATGTGATAAGCACCTCTCATAGTATTTATGTAATATATTAAACTGTTCTCTTAAACAGGATTATTTATTAACCCAAACACTCCTCCAGGAATTGCAAATTAATCAAAATCATCAACACCTCTTGCTTTAAAGAAACCAACTACTTGATTTCTCGCTGCAGCACTGCTATCAGTAATTGTTATTATTCTGGATTGTTTAATATTTTCTTATCGTCTGGTATATTAATTTCTTCTAGAATAATAAGAAAATTATTTACGTCTATTAGATATTCTAATTTTGTTGAAATTCAGCATCAATTCCAAAAAATTGCTAAAGATTTTTTTAGAATCTTGGATCTTATTCTAATCTTTAGAGTATATTTTACTCAATAGAATTGATTTATTATTATTATTAAGATTATTAAGAAATCTATATTTTTTATTAAGAGGGATCATCACCAGCAAAATTTTTATTAGAATTTTGATAATAAACTTATCTGGAATCAAGAAGAGGATCATTTAATGGTTGATATCTCTATTGACTAGGATTAGGATTATTATTTTATGAATGATGTTTTTTTATTTATGTTGGATCATCTGCAGCAAAGAATTTAGTTAAATTTTTTTTAAATTATTGATTATTTAATAATTATTCTTGATATTATGAATTAAATTATTATGAATATTAATTTATTGATCTAGAATTACTCTATCTTAAATTATTTTTTCTCTTAGGTTAAAAGGGATCATCAGCTGCAAAAAATTTAACAAGATTCTTTTAAAATTAAGGATTTGATGATAAAGGCTAAGCATCATTAGATTTTAAATGAGATTATGATTATACCTGATTTGGATCATCTGCTGCAAAAAACTTATTCAAATTCTTTTCAAATTAGGTATCATTTGGTTTTGTTCCAGATCCAATTTGGCCTGCGGTTGTAGTATAGTTATTGAAATGTAATTGGATACCATAGGGTGTATTTTTTTATAATTATGTCTCTATTGGATAATTAATTGGATTTCTGATTTGGGGGGCACCAGTAATAGGATCTAATATTTGATTATGAATATACTATATGAGACTGCTTATTAAGCAATTTTCTTGTCAATTTAAGAATAACCATATTGCTATTAATTTGATATTTAATCAGGTCTTAGGATAGCACCTTAAGATAGTTCTAGAATTTTTATAAATGCTAAGTTGATTTACAAACGCTGCTATTTGATTGGTATAATTATTTCTCTTTAAGATTGATTGAATCCATAGTAGACATTTATTAATATCTATGTTTGGAGCTTGGACGGTTTTACATTTAATGTTTTATTAATAATAATGAATATCATATTATAAATCAATAAGTAATACTTTAAATTTGGATGAGTTAAGCAAAAAGTTTAGCTGCTTTTAATTAGTAATAAATTGTATTTTCATCAAAATCATGATGCCCTTCAACCTACCCATTCTTTGAAATTTAATAATCTTCTTCAATTCTTGACAATTTAATAGCTTCTTGAATATCAATTTGATTATTCAAAATTTATAATGCTAAAATAGCTGATTTTAAGTTTTCTAATTATTAGTTAAATCATACCAACTTTTGATGTCAAACAAACTAATTACCAACTATTCATTTCTTTGAGAATAGTTTTAATTCTAATTTAATCATATTATTTTAATGGTTCCACATCAATTCCAAAATTAACTTTTAAGTGCATACCAAATATTTGATTGAATAATTTTAATTGAGGATCTAATTTCTACTTTTATATTTAATAAAGTTCTGATTATAATTAATCTCTAAATAAAACAGTGTCTCTTTCTAAATAATTAATGATTGATTGTTCTACAAATATTCTCATTCTCTCATCTGCTTCAATATCTACAGCATTTCTAGCTAATGTCATTAATGGCATAGTATTAGGTTTTATCATTTCCTTTTATGAATTAAATTCATCAGCAATACATTAAGCTAATTATGGGGTTGGTATTGTTAATACATTTTTGAAAGGTGTTTTCACTGCTTTTCCATCTAACTAATCATATAAATTAATTTTAATTTACCTTAATTAACCAATGATTTTTTGGATTAGCAATTCCAATCGCCATTTCAATTTTTGCATCTTTATAGAATCTTTTGATTTATAAAGTTTCTGAAATTTATATCTATTCTGTAAATTTAAATTTAAGAAGTAAACCTTTCATTTAAGTATTATATCAAATAATTATAAAACATTCAATACTTAAATTCATCATTATAAAATTTTAAATAACATTCAACCAGAACCCATAAATTGTGAAGCAAATGTTCTTTTGGCAGATGCAAATACTGAAGAAAAGGCTCCTCCTGAAGAACCACTAGTTTCTTATTTATCTAAAGTTATAGCCTCAGTATCCCTCATTGTTACTCTTGCTATAATTACTGATGGATCTATTGTAATAATTATTCTATTAGATATTATATTATTTTTATATACCCTTGATCACAAATTTCATCAATTATAATTATGACTTGATCAAAATTCTCTAATAAAGTTTTCTTATTTATATGATCCTTTGTTATATGATTTAATGATTCATAAATTCCATTTATAACTTATGATAATATTATTTCATTTTCTTCAAAGTCACCCAAAACAAACAAGTGTACTTCATTAAATGCCTTCATTACAATATTAAACTAACAATATTGAAATATCTCAGCTTTAGAATTATAATTATTAATTTATACTTTCGCTTCCCTTAGTCAAACGAGCTCCAACTCTTTTCCCTTTCTCCCATACATTATGTTCAAATTATTTTTACACGTCAATATTTGTAATAACACCCTCAGGTACTCTCAATAAATTCTTTGGAAATAATTAAGGATAATATTTAGAATATAGTCTTGTACCATCCTATGATCTTACGAATATTATTCCAAATATTTTAGATATAGAAGTAGATAATTAACTCATAAAGTTTAATTAATTATTATTATTATTTTTATCAATATATAACATACTCAAATGAATTACATTTCAAAATATTTATAGTTATCAAAATTCATTTATTTATTTAATATCTATTTTGTTTTTAATACTTAATTTATATTAATTGATCTATGAATACTTTATATTACAATACATTATTCATCATTATTATACAATTAGAATATATATATATAAAATAATATGATTTACTTAAACTAATGTAAATTAAAATGAAAACTTTATATGAAATTTTAATTTATAAACTATATATTTAAATATAAATATAAAATGTAAAGAGCTTAATCTGCAGCACCTAATATTGGTATTTTATGTATCTAAAATTAGACTTTCCTATGGAGGATATGTTTAAAATAGCAACTAGACAAACATCAGGTTTTGGAATTGAAGGATATGAAGCCCCAAAAAAGTACGTTGATCCAATTAAATAAATGGAAGAAAGAAAATTCTTAACTTAAAAGAAAGGTAATTTGTGTTTATTATGTTTAAGGTTAAAAAAATAGAAATCATGTAACTAAAAGAGGTCATTATTTAGAAGATTTGTAAAAATTATATGAGAAGTTACCTGCACCAAATAAATATAATATTGTTAAACCATGGGTTCCATTAAAATAAGAAGGAAGAGTAAAGAGTGCACCATAAAAGAGGTAAATATTCAAAATGTATGTTTAAATAGATCCACATTTATAGATTAAATATTCAAAGAGGCAAAAATAAGAGGAATTCCTGGTGCTGGTAAATATAATGTGATACCTACTCTTGAAGATGTGTTGAAAAAAGTAGAAGAAGATAAGAAGAAAAAAATAGCGTAATAGTTTCTTATTATTTTGAATAGACCTGTTGAAAGACCAACTTATTTAAATGAAATTTAACATTTAGCTGTAATCAATCCAGGTCCAGGAAATTATAATCCTCATGTAAAATTTCTATATGATTTTAATAGAGAATTGAAAAAAAACTAAAAATAAATGAAACTAAACCATCTGATTAAATTGCTAAGCATAAAGAATAAGAAAGAAAGAGAGGCAAGTCATGTTTACCTGATATTGGTACTTATAATCCAGAACCAGTTGAATTCACTTCATTTAATAAATTGTAATAATTAACAAAAAAGAAGGACAAATCTGATAAAAATGTTAATATTATTATTATTTTATAGAATTTTGGAAGAGAAGATAGATTTAAAGATCCAAAAAAAAGTAAATCTAAATAAGTTCCAGTTCCAGGTCCAGGATAATATCCAATGATTGTATTATGGGCTGGAAAAGAGAAAGATAAGAACAATCCAAAAAAAAAGAATTATTTAGATATTACCACAAGAGGGATTTCTCGTTCAATATATTATTGAATTAAACTTTGTTAATTATTAAATTTTTCATTACATAAAAATGAATGGAATGATGAAATCTTTGTATATTGAGGATAATGTCTCTATTAATTTAAAAGATATACCAATTCCTTAACCATCAAATGGATAAGTATTGATTAAAGTTGAATATGCTCCAATCAATCCATTTGATAAAGAATTTCTAAATGGATACAAAATTAATTAAAAATAATTAGTAAGTACTGTTCCTGGATTTGAAGGATCAGGTACAGTTATAGCTTCAGGGTAACTTAGAATTTAAAATATTAAGTGGTGGTTTATTAGGTTGGCAATTAAAAGGAAATCGTGTAGCATTTTATACAGAACATTAATTTGGAGCTTATGGTTAATATGCAATAGCAGATGTAAATTATTGTGCTGAATTACCTAAAAATATTACATTTTAAGAAGGTTGTTGTAGTTTTATAAATCCTATGTCTGTTTTAATGATGTATCAATTATTAGGGAATGCATCTGGAATTGTGTCTACTGGTGCATGTACAAATATAGGAAGAATGTTAATGAGATATTGTTAATCAAAAGGAATAAATGTTATTAATATTGTTAAATCTTAAGGAGAAGAAAAACTATTGAAAGATGAAGGAGCAAAACTTATTTTAAATATAAATCAAGAAGATTTCGATGAAAAATTGAAATTGATGTCTTCTTCATATAAGTATATTTAATCTTATTAATAATATATAGTACAACAGTTCTATTTGATTCAATTGGAGGAGATCAATTAAGTAGAATATTGAATCTTATGCCAAATAATTCAAGAACTTATCTATATGCTAATTATTCAAAAAAATCACTTGATGGAATATATAGTGCTAATTTAATGTATTAAAATAAAAAAATATTTGGGTAATTACTATTAATATTTAATAGATTTTCTTTTGTAGATATTTTATAAAGTAAAAATATAATTCAATTAAAATTGATGATGAAAGAAATCTTAAATAATATTTAAGGATGTTTTAAGACTTTGCCAACTCAAATTGTAAATAAAATTTATTAATTTTAGTTCTCATTAGAGGAATTTGAGAAAGCATTAGAATCTAAGGAGAAAGCAATTTTAAAAATATGATACTGTTATGATTTGTTCAATAATAATTATAAATCATGAAGAGGTGTAGTTTCCTACTTATTATTCTAAGGCTGATAACTTTTAAGTGGCAGCCAATATTAATTACTATATTTAACTTTTTTCTTTTTTCAACTCAGTTAGTTATGATTACAATTTAGAATTTTCATCCTTTTAAGTATTGATAGCCTAATGAATTGAGTATAAAATACTTATCTAAGATCTCTTAACATAGCATCTAAAGTTGGTTAAGTTGTATTTTTAATTTCTTCATTATTATTAGTAATTCTTTATTTCATTAGATGTAATTCTTATTTCAATTGATCAATATCCTATTTATAATTTTATAGCAATTCATTTGTTAAATCAGTAATGTTCTATTTTATATGTTAAGTGAGATAATACAGTGACTAATGATAAGTGATTTTTTGCACTTGTTGCAGATTCTTATTCAAGTTTTGAAGTATGAACTTATTATATATCCTACATTTCCAAATAATAATATTAATATTATTGATTAATCATCAATTTTAAAATGGGTAATAATTAATCCTGTTGTTCTGTAAGAATCAGATAACCATCTAATACTTTAGATAAAAAAGAAGTGTTTTTATTATGTGATGTTTTAAAACACTCACAAGAAGGCAACTAATCAACTCATTTAGATTAATAATGTTTTGAAAGAATATTCTAAGATAATCCTCTCTTTGGTTAATAAGTATATGAGTATTGTCAATTTTAATTAAAAGTTAATCCTTTACCTCTAGAAGGGTGTATCAATATACGTAATTTATATATTAATATATTTCTAGTTTAAGGCATACTTAGTACTTCAGATATTACACCTATTTGTCTATAGATATGTATGGAAAATTATGATTCCTAGTTACAAATTATCACAGCATAATAAGCATTTTAATTTATTGGGGTATTTAAACAAATTCTAATTTTTAAAGTTAATAACGTCTATCTTTTTAACTTTTTGTATTAGAAAGTAATAAATTGATGCCTCCGTTTTGGAAACTTTGGTTAATTCACTTTTTAAAGAAAAATAAATGAAAATTAATGAATTTTTATCAATAATGGAAGCTAATTTTCCTCATGTTTAGAAATTAATTCGTTTATACTTATAATATAGATTATTGTAGAAACCATTTAATTAAATGAGAGTTGCAAAAATTGATAAGGATTCATTTAGTTTAAAATATGAATGGTTAGCTATTATGGGATTGGCAACTTCAGAATTACATAGACATGGATAATTAACATTATTATATTAATCAGCATTATAATCTATTAATTTTCAAGATATATTAAATTTTATGTAATAAACATAAATTCTATTTGTTGCAACATTCTAAGATGAATAAACTAATAAAAAATAAACTATAGCAATATATAATAAATAATAATGGTAATTAGATGCTAAAGATTCAGATAATATTATTGCATTTTAATTAGCACCTTATTTTTACATTTATAGATCTAAATCTAAGAATTATTTTAATACTAATGGTTTTGGTTATAGTTTAGATTCAAAGACTAATAAATATTTATTATGGATAGGATAATAAAATAGTTATTTTTGTAATTCTCAAAGAGTATATCAATAATATATAATTTATTAGTTATTAACTATTGAAATTTGGAGATGTGAAGAACTATAATCAAAATTAAGAAAGAGTGTTGTTATTGAAGATGAAAGAACTTCTACATTGAGTCCTAAAGATTAAAAGAAAAGAGTTTCATTTAAATTAATGGATGAAAATCAACCAACCAGAAAAAGTTCATCTGTTACTCCAACAACTAGAAAAGCCAACTTAATAGAAAATCCTGCAATTTCACCTCCTCCTATCTAACCTTTGAATACTACTTAATCATTGTAATATTAATCCTACTATTAGCTTTCTTCAAACTACTCAAGATGGTTAGGAGAGTCCTCGATCACCACATTTCAAAACTGATAATCTTCCCACTTTTAATAATCCTCAAGGATAAATTATTAAATCATATCCAAATCCTACTAATATTACAAATACATAATAACTCACTAGACCTTCATAAAATAGACCATCTTAATCTATTATTGATAAATATTAGAATGGTTAAAGATAAACTAGAAGTTACTCTAATAATGATATTAGAAAAAGTGTAGATGATATATTAAAGAGATATGAAAAAAAACAATGAAATTTTAATATCCATATTAAAAATATAGAAAATATATGTTTTAAATTAAAATTTTTATTTTTATTGTATATAATATCTATTAATAGGATATAAATAATAAAAGATTTTTCTATATTAAAAGTAGTTTTAATAGAATTATTAGTTTTATTAACTCTTTTTAATTCAATTATCACTTAATATTATCCTTTTTATTTTAATAAACTTCATAAATATTCATTATATTTTATGTATCTCATTTTTTAAATTAATATAAATCTTATTTTATTTTATTATAATAGATTATCAAAATTTTCAATCAAATTTACTTTATTATGTTTTCAAAAATACTTTCAACATAAAATGATTATTTTACTTCCTATATTATATTATAATATAATCAATAAGAATGATATTTATAAATTATTTAAGAAAAAATATAATCATTTTGATTAGATTATTGATTTACTAAAATGACTTTAATGTATATCATAGCTTGGTTAAGTTTAAATAATAGATTTATGTAATGTATCTAATAGTGATGGTTTTACTTGGTTTGATTATAAAACTTATTACTATTATTAAAATTAATTTAATAGTATTTGATATTTTTAATTCAATTCATTTAATGATTATTATTTTTCATTTAATTATTATTCTAATTTTTTTATTTATTTATTTGATTATTCAAGATTCTATTACAATTCATCTACATTCAATTCAGTTTCATCTTCTTAGATTATTATACCTGAATTAGTTTAAAGTTTTAATTTAGTTAATAGTTTTTATTTATCTAAATCCAATTAAATAATGGTTTCATATTAATTACAAATTATCTTTTCTAATTCTTCTGAATATTAATTGTTATTCTTAAAATCTATTTCTAATTTCTTTTTCAAATTATTCATCTACTCTTTGTAATTAGGATTGTTAAAGTCTCTTTTATTAAAAGATGTAAAATTTTAGAATTTATTTCTTTACAACAATATTATTATTATAATACCTTTCATATTCCAATTCATCATTAAGCACTTCATTCTTATAAATAAAATCATCACATCTATTTCTTAATTCATTAATAATAGTTTGAAGTTCTAATATCTTTTCTTCATAATTAATAATCTGTTCATTATTTCCTAATGCAATTTATCTTGCTTCTAATAATGTTTTGATCTTGAATTTTAGATTCATATTTTCCAATTTCAATGTGTTAATTTCACCTTATAAGCTGATTTTATCCATTTTAAGAAATATAGAATAATATATAAATATATAATTATTCTAATAAGACATATCTAATTTTATAAATAAGAATAAGTTATCAATAATTATTTAAACAAATATTTATGATTATACAATCACATATCTAATCAAACTTTTTACTATAATTATTCATTTAATTTATTATTAGAATGTTGGAAAAGGTATTTTTTCTGGTTTAATTTATTAAAGTAGATTTATCAACTCTTCTTTACCTTCTTCTAAATAAAGAACTTATTCTTTATATTAAGTAACATATTCATCTTCAACTTTGACAAAATTATTTTGAATTAATTAATCTATAGGATTAACATTATATTTTTTTAATGTTTTTAGATTTTACCAATATGAATTTCCCTTTTAATCCTTTAACTCGATAAAATCTAATTCATGACTTTTAGATTTTATAAATTATTCTAATTCTTTTTAATAATTTTAAAGTCCTATTTCAAAATATTTATTATTTAATTATTGTATATTGTTGATAAATTCTATTTCATATAAGATAGCAATTTTTTTATGTTAATAATCTATTTATTATTTATAATAACTAATTTTATATTAAGAAAGTGCAGCATTTAATTTAGTTTTTTAATTTTATATTTTCTTATATTAAATTAGTGAAAGAATAAAGTATCTTCTTTTAGCAGATTTAATTTTGGAAAAATTACGAATTAGATTAACAATAGGTTTAAGAATTTATTTTTATTAAATAGTTAAGATCAATTTTTTTTTAGATTATTTTAATCTATAAAAATAAGGTCTTATAAATAATAATTATTTCTATTTTTAAATTATTATTTGTTTTTTCTTCTTTGCAATCCATCTCCTATAATATTTTTAAATTTTAATTATGAATTTGATTTTAAATTAAAGTTTTAATCTTTATTTATATAATCCATAACATTTCTTAATTTTATTAGCTGCATTTATAAATTATTATTTAGCCTATTCTTCTTTATTCTTCTCTAATAATAGATTCTTTTCTAAAGCATCTAAATATTATTATTCCAAACTTTTTTACATAAATAATGTAATTAATTATATTTAATTAATTAAAATAATTTCAATCATCGGCATTTTCTCTCTCGCCTTTAATAGTTTTTAGAAAATCATTATTGATAACACCAGAATGACATAAATGATAACCTACTCTCTTAATCTAAATATTTAATTTTGATCTGTCAAAAATAGTTTTCTGATTTGAAGTAAAGCCCTAAAAAAAAAGAATATATATATATATATATACTTTAATTTTCTTATCAATAATATATTAATGTCTTTAAAGTAATAAAGTAGCTGATTCAGATTCTGGAGATACTAGTATTTTAATTACAAAGTTTAAAGCAAAAAAGATTACTAAAATAGATGCAAAGAATTCAATTTTATTTTCTTCAATAGAATTAGAAGTATATACTATTAAACCAGCATTAGAAAGAATACCAAAAAAGGTTATAATATCCAAAATTACTAACCAATTACCAATACTTGCTGCTCCTTAAGGAAATGGTCTCCTTGATAAACTTACGAAATTAATTTTATCTACTTGTATTTTACCTACATTTTATGCAAAACCTAATATAAAACAAGCAGGATATGAAACTCCAAATACAACAAGAAAACAAAATTAGATTGTCAATTCCATATAATCTTTTACACTTCCATCAACTTCTTCATTTGTTTGATATGGTTACAAAGCAAATTAACTCTCAATAAAAGGATCAATATCATTAAATGCATGAGGTACAGGTATTTCATCTATTGCTTTCATTTTCTTCATTAATTTCTCTTAAACATAAGGTATTAGAACAGCTGTTATCAATCCTGAGAAATTAGAAATAAAGATAGTGCTTAATTATAAAGATAGTATTTGAAAACAATCATAGGTATCATCATTTACTTTACATAATTCTAATGATGAAAAGTAATTACTTAGAAAGGATATAATAAAGAATGCATTAAAACTAAATAATATTTTAAATTATTACGTATTTACAAATCGAAAGATAAAGACTTTAGCAACTAAAGAATTTTCATAGGATGATAAAATCTTATGATTTTCTAATGAATTAAAAATCATAACTAAATTTTGATATATAAAATTAAACACAGCAATAAGTACTGAATTTAATAAACCAGGCAATTATTAAGAGAAAAAAGGATCTGCTTTAGTTTCAATCATAAAATTTTTAAAAAAGAATATTCCTAATACACATCCAATAACACATAAAATAATTAAAAAACTAACAGCTAAACCAAATAATTATGTTATTTTTCTTTTAATAGGAGGGTAAAATTATTCATTTAAATCATCATCAGTAATAGATCTTAAAAAATCTCCTTAAAATGCAGGTCTTAATGCTTCTCCTGTTTCAAAATTTAATTGTCCAAATTAAACACTAAATAAAAATTATTTTCTTCTCCAATAAACTATAAAAAGAGAACTCCATATTACTATTGTAAATGAGAAAAGTATTACAATTGGTTTTTTATATTAACCTGTTGATTCAGATAATAGAGATTAACATAATATACCTAATAATCCTATATACCATAATTATTATGTATAAAATCCAAGAAATGCAAAATATAATGCTATTTTTTCACCAAAATAATCTCTAAGATGATGAACTGGAATATACCAAGGACATTTTATATTTATTCTAAGATCTTTTTTAACACTTTAAAAATCAAAATCAGTAGATTCTGCATATGATTATAAATCTCTATATAAATCTAAAAGATATTATCTACTCCCTTCAAAAGTTTTTTCTAATACAAATTCCTATTCTATTAATTTCTTCATAAATTTTTCTTTTTTCTCTTCTCCAAATAAAGCATATGTATCATGAATTGGAAAATAACCATCTGCAATAAGAGATTATAATAATTTTGACATATTAACATGTTTTAAAGTAATAGCATGTGTTATTTTAATCTTTTCCATATTATTAAATTCTGATCTATCTTTTAATTCATTTATTTCATATTTTCTCCACATCTATTTACCAAAATCATTTTACAATTAAAAATATTATGTATATGGTGCTGCTGGTTCCATACCAAGCATATCCCATATATTTTTTAGTATTATCTTTTCATCTAATAAATCTGACCAACAACTTTAATGAGTTGAATACCAAATCTCATTTGCTTTTCTTAATGCCTTTCCAAATATTAATCTATATAAAAATGGTAAATTATCTCTAAATTGAAAATGTTCTTCTTTTATTGATTCTTAATAATGTTATTATAATAGATTTAATAATTATGATAATAAATCCAAATAAATATAATATACTTACCATTCTTCATCAGTTATAGAATAATCAGAATTTAATTCAACTTTCTCATGAGATTAATCAATATTTAATTATTTTGCTATAATCTTAAAATATTCTTCTACTTATTCTAATTTCTTAATTACCATTGCTCTTAATTCTATATCTTTTAATTATCTTATTTCTTATTTATAATTATTTTCACAATATTCATCTATTTCTTTTAAACTTGTAAAATGCAATTTATCATTTGATTTTATTGAATCCATTGCTTCTTTCAAATCTCCATAATTTGGACCTAAAATTTATTTTATATAATTCTTAAGACGTAAAGGTCTAAAATTAGCATCTACAGGTTCTAAAGAAAATAAATCAGCAAAACCCATTTCTATTTATTTAGTTACTTTCATATTCTATGCTTATCTTTAAATTACTTCTTTAGTTGATTTTATTACTATAAATATATGTTCTCCAGTTCCTGATACAAATTAACGACAATGTAAATATCCATTTCTTGATAATTTTTCTAAAATTGTAAATCTAATTAAAGTCATCATATCTTTAGGAGGTCCATTATTTGATATCCAATCATAATCTATACCATCTTCACACATCTTTTTTATTAAATATCCTCCTTATGACCATTTTTTCTTAAGTTTTTTAAATTATTTATCATCATTAACATCAACTTTCATTAATTCTTTAATTGGATCAATTATTTTTTAAGAAACATTTTATTAACCTTATTATCCTACACCTATTTCATCTAGAAATCCTTTTTCATTTTTTAAATCTAAACCTTCATTTTCATTCATTAATTCTTCTTCTCTCTATTTATGATAGATTCTCATAAAATCCAAATATTTTTCATATGAATTTTTTTCTATCTTTATTGGTTTTTCATCTTTAGGTTGTGTTAATTCTTAGCTATTATTATTTTTGTTGAACTTTTTCTTTTTTTCAGAATCCTTTTTTTGTTTTAATTTCTTTTTCTTCTTAACTTATCCATCATTCTAATTATCAATAAGATCATCAAGTGTCAAATAAGTTAGAAGAAATGAATCTCTTTCTTTTTTTAATTAATTTTTTGTCACTTCTTCTGTCATAACAGTCAAAATCTCATCAAAAATAGCAGCTGCTTCATTAAATGTTACAGCTTTTTAAGTATATCCTTCATAATCAGGATTTGGAAATACTATTGCTAAATCTCCTATATTATAATCTTCATATATATCTTAAATTTCTTAAAATTCTGCAGGATTCAAAAATTCATTTTAATGCTTATCAACCAAATCTCCTACCTTCTCAAATATTTTTTTTTTTTTCATAAATGATTTCAAATCAACTTAATTTATGTAAAATCCTAATATTTCTCTAATAGACTCTTCTTTATGATTTTATATAGCATTTTACTTTGCTCGCTTATTTTTTTAGGATTCCACCTTCATAATATTTTCTACTTAATGAATTATTATTAATTTAATTTCAATTTGCTATGTAATAATTATATTTAAAAAATAAGAGAATATTTAAGATTATACTACTGTTTTTATAATAACAATTTCAATTTATAAACTCATATAAATACTATAGAAAAGAATATCACTTATTAAATATTTTAACTTTTATTTTATATTTTATTAATTAAGTAATCAAATCAAAATTAATTTCTTTTTATTAACCATTCTTTCTCTATATGATTATTAATTCAAAAAGGCCCTATAAATTTAATTTTATTTCTCCAAACTATTTTACTCTACATTTTAAGGAGATTAACCAACTGATTACTTTCTTTATTAATTATCTTGTAAATCAAATGATTTATTATTTGAAGGCCTAGTATTTCCTGAAGTCAACATAATATTACTAGCTTTATTATCACATTTATGATTGGAACTTAAGATATTACTATATATAGATATTTGAGGAATCTTAATTTATAACTCTTTTTAATTCATCATTTAATCTTATATTTTCTTTTTTAAACTATAACCATGTTTTGAATACTCTTATAAATAATAATCATCTTCTTTATCACTTAAATCTTATTCTAAAATGAATTTTTTAGGATCAAAATGTTATTATAAATCATCTAAATCACTCCAATTAATACAACTAACATCCTTGATACCAGTTTCATTTTATTTTTAATTCCTCCTACATCTTTAAGTCAAATTAACCTTAGGAAATTATTATTCTATAATTGGTCTCTCTTTTTTTACACTTTCTACTCTTAAATTTGGTTTAGGAGGTAAATAAATTTTTCTTTCATAAATTTTTTCTTATGTAAGTACTTCACTTTGTTCTTTAGAATTAAATGGTTTGCCTATAATTTACATTTTCTTTCTATATTATTTGGGATTGTTTAAACCCAAATATTCATATAAGAGTTCATTCTATTCTGGAAAAATTAATTATGCAATTTTTATGATAACTATTTAAAAGTTTTCTTTATTCAATTCCATTTAAGAATTAGCATTTTTTTTGTATATCTCCACTAAATTAAATTTAGTTAATATAAAATTTTGTTTATGATTGAATTTAAACTAATTTTTCTTTTTATTTTTAAGTTCATCTATTTTACCACCTAGTTTTAAGATCAGATCATTATTAATTTCTAAATCAATTAATTAGAAATCTCTGCAAAAGAACATAAACTTTTACAATATCATAATATTAGACAATTATTACAACTTCTCAAATGTATTATATTTATTTGTTGTAATTGCTTATTTGGAGTAAAATGTATAAATTTCTTTTAAATTTTCAATCATCTATTTATCAAGTGGCTTGATTTTATTTATATCTTGAATTATATCTTCTTTTTCTACTATTTATTATGGTTTCTATTGATGTTGATTTTAGATTGTGTTACCAATCTGAGTATTTTTTATGATTATTTATTTATGCTTTTGAATTTAATGCTGAATAGTATTTGCAGTTTACATAATAATTAATTGAGGTTATTAGACTTGAGTTACAGGTTGTATTTCATCTAGATTTTAATATGAATTAGTTTGTTGATCATTGATTTCTGTTAAGACTTGCTTTACATCAAGTTCTATATCATTCTCTTTGGCTTCATCTTATGTTAAATCAACTTAACTACTCATAGGATTAGCTACATTGTCTGAATCTTATTGATCTACATTTTTATGATTGTGAATATCTAACAAATTGACTTTGCTGCTTTGTCTACTTGAGTGTTTATAGGAATTAGGTTGTATAGGAGTTAAACGTAAAGGGGATTAATTTGGATTATTTAATTTTTATGGAGAAGTAAGACGATTAATTATCATAGATTCCTCAATAATGTTAGTCATTATTAATATTTTTTGTTCGTTAAAATAAATGTAATCAATACTTACGCAATGTGAATGTTTAGATGAGGAATATAAATAATTAGTCATAAAAATACATGATATGCTAGATGATTTGAGTATTGTTAGTCTGGAATTTGTGAATTCAAAATTAGAATTTTTGGATAAATACTCTAAAACGCTAAAATCCAGTTAGATTGATGCTCGCTTACATCGTAATTCTTAGATGAGGAATTTAATTGAGTATATAAAGATGCATAAGAAAACTTAGGTAAAATCTTAAGCATAATCTCCTCCTGCAAAAATGGCTCATCATAGACCAAAGTATTCTTTCAATGAGAAAGCATTTTCGAATTTACTTTATGAAAGCATGAATTAAATTACATAACAAAAGACTTTAGATAATGAGACTGAATTATAATTTTCAAAACCATAAGCTCTTAAATAGAAAAGTTTGAATACTTTGTAAAATTTAATTAAGAAACAAAAGAATGAATAAAGAAAGGGAAATGAAGATATGTTTAAATTATTATAGAAATGTATGAATCTAATTAGTGGAAAGAAAGATTTATTTGATGATTATGATGAATTATAGTAAGAATATTAAATTATAGTAAAAAACAACAAACATATTTCAAGTAAAGTAAATTTAGAAATGAAGTCTTATAAAATAAAATAAAATATTTCATAATTGATAGCTAGCTAAGAATCATTTAAATCATACTTGAACTCTATAATATGATTATTATTTATATATACTTATTAGTTTTATATGATTTCAATACAGATTTTATAATATCTCATTTTTACCTTAAAATTCTCATATTTTTAATGAACAACAATCAATATAATAGTAAAAAGTTGGCTCCATTCAGAAAGACAAGAGATGCACTAAAAGAAGAGTTGAAAATACTTGAATAAGAATATTAACAAGAAGAAAAACTTAATGATATTTATTTCGATGAAATAGGTCGTTCAGAGAAAGTAAATATATAATTTAAATTCAGGAATTTGAACAACTTATCAAATAAATAGAGGATTTTAATAGACATAATCATTCAATCAAAAATGATAAATAGACAGACTAAAATTAAGGGTTTGATGAAACGATAGAAAAAAATGTTATCGATACATTGCATCTCTTTCTTTTAAATACAAGCAAGAAGGAATATTTAGAAAGCATCTAAGAATAAGAAATTGCAAAGAAATCAAAATAATTAGGTAATTTAGTTATGACCTTGGATCAACCAAACACTTAAATCAAAGAAAAAGATGATCAAGAAATTATAGAAATGAATAATTAAGATGGTTATTATGTTACTTTAAGATAAGGAGAATCTTAATTTGAAGTTAGAATTCCTTCACATATCAAAACATTCAAAGAACTCAAATCAATTGTTAAATCATGTTTTATGGCAGAAGAAAAGGATGTCTTTTATACAGATTCATTAGGTAATTTATTATAGCCAGAAATGAATGTTATTAATGAACTTTATCCTCCTATTTATGAATTACTTAGAAATTATTAACCAACAATTGGGATTTAAATTGTAAAATAGAAAAAAATTAAAGATGACACTAAATTCACAGATGCTGATTTTGGTCTTGATGGTCTAAATGATTTAATGACTAAATAACTTAAGCCAGCAAAAAGAGCTCAAAAATAAATTAATTGGTCATTATACTTAGACTATTTAACAACTTTTAAATATTTAATGGAATCTTTTCTCTTTTTATCTCTACTCATATTATATGTTGTGATAGAAGTTGATTAAATTAAATTTGTTACTAATAGTTAATTACTAGTTACAATAAATTCATAATTTTTAATTTAGAAGTCCTTTATAAATCCAATCAACAATATATCTGAACTTATTGTTATGACCATTCCAGATGATCAACATATTCATCCAACTTATCCCTTAAAATCAGCAGTATTAGTATAAACTCTTGTTGGTATTGTAATTATGAATTTATATTTAGGAAAACTTTGAAAATTGTCATATATTGAATGAAAATTAGAAAGAGATTTTTATTGAAAAGAATTAATCTTGTTTAAATTATAATAATATAATTACAGATGATCTAAATAATAATTATACATTTACTAATTACAATCCTTAAATTTACGATCATTATTTTGGAGGTTATGTATGGGAATTTGATTTGACATCAAAAGAGAATTTTCGAGAGAGTTATAATAAATTAGTTTAAGAAAATTGGGTTTAATATAATATTAAACAATCTAAATTTATATTAAATTATTATAATAGTCCTACAAAAAGAATAGTTCAAGTTGTAATAACAAGCTTATATCTATTTAATGATGTTTTTTATTTATTTTATTTCTAGAATCTGCTAAACTATAATAGTATCTAATCTGAAGCTTTCGATTTGAGTGAAGAACCTAGCTCATTTATTATTTACAAGAATATCATTTTTTATTGTTCAATTGTACTTTTAATATCATCATTTTTTGGTATTATGATAATATATAATTTTAGATTTTTTTGGTTTGTATTTAGCTGGAACCAAAAATCATTTGATTGTTCTTTATTTATCATATAATGAATTGCTCAATAAGAAAAAAAAAATGTAAGCTAAAAAGAAGGAAATAAGTGAATAAGATCATAAAGAAATGTTATAAAAAGAGTTAATCCTCAGTGAATATTTTATTATCAATCTAAAAGTGATTTTTATTTCTATCAGAATACCTTTGATATTTGATATCATATGTAATACATAAATATATTATAGACATATTATGTTAATTTGGCTTAGTAATTAAAAGAACAATTGACGTATAATATGAAGATGCACTTAGTTAAATAGATTTGAAATCAAATTAATTTCAAGATACTTCTTCCTTATTTGGACCATTATTATTGTCTAGAATTTACACTGCTGTTTTGCTTTTATTTTTGATGATTTCGATAGTAAGATTTCTTGGTAATTGGAGTCCATATTTGAAATGCTATGGTTTAGTAATGATCAGAGTAAAAATTTAATATAATGCTATAGTTTAATAAAGAATCATGGTTTTTGTTACTAGTTTTAATTTATATCATTAGTATTTGTGCAATGTCTTGGTCTATAACTTTATAAGGTAAATTGATTAATCATGATAATTTCTTTTACACCTTCATAGGTTTATTAAGATGTACATTAAAATATGGACTACATAATGATATTGATCAATAAGGATTTTTTAATAATTATATAAAAGAAATAAGCTACTCATTTGATACAAGATATGTATTCTTTTTTAATTTATTAATAGTTACAATACATAATTATAATTTGTATTTCAATGATAATGGTTCCAATTTTTATTTCTTTGATGACATAATAAGTTCATAATACTAAAATTGAAGCGAAATAAAAAATGTTAGAAATGAAAAAATAGGCAGAAGAATGAATTTAGTATTGCATTCATATATATATATTAATATTTCATGTTTTGCGCATAGTATTAGTTTTCTTCAATATTTCTTAACTATTTTCATATTATTTATCTATTAATTCTAAATCTAAGCATTTTTTACTTGGATGTCTCTTACTATTTTGATCACTAAAACTTTTGGCTCTCTAAATATAATATAGTAAATAGAAATACTGAGCTCAGATATTCATATTTGATTGGATTTTATTTATTATTGGAATTATTGATATATTGAATATTCTATGGAAAGTTGTTTTAATACAATGATTTGGAACCTGATCTAGTATTGTCTGCAAAATAATTTTATGGTTTAGTATTATTATTTGGTGTTTTGGACACAGATGACTATAGTGGGATTTAAAATTCAAATCCTGTTATTGAATTTTTATTTTAACAGGATTATACAATATTTTGAGATCCTCCAATACAAAGAAGAACCTCTAAAATAAAAGGAAGTTCTTACGTTTTGTATTTTATTAACTATTTAACAATGCAGAGGGTTCTTCAACAACTGTTGATAATCTTTATTCTTTAATTTTAATTTTTTTCATCTCAAGTTATTTAGAGATTTTCATATTTTCTTTAGATTCTTGGATTTACAATTACTTTGACGAAAGAGTACATGGTTATATAAAGTGTTTTCGTTCTGTGTTATTTTTTGTGCTTTAAGGCAATGAGAAACCTTCCATATTAAGTGCAGCTTTAACACCTTACTATCCAATTTTGTTGAAATTTTTGAACACTTCTGCTGATTACTCTGTCACTTAATTTTCAGGTTCATAATATTATTGCATTTCTCGATTAATACTCTCATAAGCACTATCAAATGGTGTTCCTTAATAATTAACAATGGACATCTAAAATAAGAATAAGTTCACTTTTTTAGGATTATTTAATTCATTTTAAAGGTTGTCATTGTTGTAAATCTCTGTTTCCTCTAATTTTCTGAGAAAGAAATCATCTGGCTCAGTTTTATGTCCCATCCTTCGAATAGGAGAGATAGGCATTTATTGAGGTTTCTTGTTTGGTTTGGAGAAGTATTACAATATCTGCTATATGAGAATAGTCTAAGTATTATTAATAGGATGATACATTCTGATTTTGTTGTTTAGAATTCTATACTTGTAATTCCATGATTTAAGTAAACACTTTGGTCCAACTTTTAAGTGTCTTCTTGATTGACTTGATATCATTGACTAATTGATCTCTTACTAAGAAGCCTTGCTCATCCATCATAGTTGTTATAATTAAATATATTAATATCGTTAATGAAGAATTATGCGTCACATCCACTATTATCAAGTGGAAGAGGAAGTCTATAAGACACTCCTTATTATATGGAGTTAAAACCAAAAAAAAATAATTCCAAATTAGCTAAGACTGAAAGAACAACCGCCAAAAACACTAAACAAGACTTGTTGGAATACTTCAAAAAAGAACGAAATACTCTAGCATAAGTATCTAATAGTATTAAAACTTAACTTCAATAAAACCGATCTATTGACAATTTGATTAGTCAGAAAAGCGAACGACTTAAAACACTTAATGCTCAATATCAATAATTTCCTTTGTCTTTAGATTAAAGGATTCATACAGATGAAGGAAATAACATCAAAAGATAAATTATAAAGGGAAAGAATCTATCCCTTGCTACAATTCAAATGGAATCAAAGTAGTAGAAGATAGCTATCAAATAAGGCAAAGTCAATTAGACTCCTTTAAACAATCACAAAGTACCAAAATCAACAGTAGATCAATACTTTTAAGATTTATAAATCAAAAGTGCAAAACAATATAAAAATAATCATTACTTAGACTATCAGCAACATTTCAACTTTAGGCCTAACAAAAATTCCTTGTTGTAAGAATCTCAAACATTAAAATAATCGATTGAATATATCTTGAGTAAAAATAAAGAAGATGCTAAAAAGGCTGTTAAAAGGATAGACTCAACTGAACCTAGATCAATTAATCAATCCACTCAATAAAAATCTGATTCAATTAAAAAAATGAATAGAGCTGATGACTCTAATCATTATGATTCTAAAAAGCAACTAAAAATTATATTATTTTATAAGAACTAAAAGTAATTCATATTTTTATTTAGATACAATTATTTATTTGAATATCAAAACAAAACCACTGATAACTTATATAATTTCTTGATCCAATAAATAGCTAGTATTGAGAAATCTTTTGTTAAATAAGGAGGAGGTACAGGATCAACTGAAGAAGATCACATTTAATAAGGTATACTATAATTCTATAATTTAGAAATCAATAAAATATGTCAATTTTATTGTGTTACAAAGAATGTGCCTTATGATTACTATCTAAGTCTTCCAAATTTATCATTAAATGTCTTTTAAGGAATTACACTTTAATTATAACCATTAATTGCATAATAACCTTCAGGAAAAAGAGTGACTTTGAAAGATTTCACTCTTGTCAAGTGTATAGGAGTGGGCGGATTTTCTAGAGTGTATTTAGTAAGAAAAAGAGATAATGGGAAATTTTATGCTCTAAAATTGATTGATAAGAAGTTTATAATGGATAATCAAAAAGAAGTTATTGTTTAGAATGAAAGAGACATAATGGTTAAGATGGATAATTAATTTATCACTCCATTGCACTTTGCATTTGAAACCAAATATTATATTGCATTTGTTCTTGATTATTGTGCAGGAGGAGAATTATTCTTTCATTTAAGAAAACTTAAGAGATTGAGTGAATAAAATGCCAAATATTATTTTGTTGAAATTTGTATAGGTATGGCATATTTACATTCATAAAATATTATTTATCGAGATATTAAACCTGAAAATATATTATTAGATTTGCATGGACATCTTTTACTAAGTGATTTTGGACTTAGTAAACCTAATATGGCTCCAGAAGATTTTGCTTATTCTTTTTGTGGATCACCTGAATACATGGCTCCAGAAATGCTTCTCAAGACTGGTCATAACTATTTAGTTGATTGTTATTGCTTAGGAGCATTGCTCTATGAATTAGTTACAGGATTACCTCCATTCTATTCTCATAATACTCAAGAAATCTATAACTCAATTTTAACAGAACAAGTTCAATTTCCTCCTTATGTACAAATCTCAGATGAGTTAAAAGATCTAATTTATTAATTACTCGAAAAAGAACCTTCATAAAGAATAGGATAATCTTAAGGCGTCATTGAAATCCTAACTCATCCTTGGTTTGCAGATGCTGATTTTGAAGCTATAGTTAACAAAAAAATCAAGCCTCCTTACAAACCACAACCATTACAATATAATTTCGATGAAGAAGAATTCAATAAAGGAGATGCAGAATTTAGAAAATAATACAATATTAATTTATAAAAAGAATATGTAAATTATTCCTTTAATTTAGACTAATGAAAATTTTAGTAATCTCATTCTTCAAAATTTTTATTTCTCAAGAGAAGATCTTCCATAACAACCAGAACACAAGTCTAAAAGATCAAATGCTATCAATCTAAGCCAACTTCATTTGGAAGGTGTACCTGAAGATTAGAATTCACCAGTAAGAATAGGAGTTTAGGCTTTCTCAACTGATCTTAGAAGAGTCTAAAAATATTAAGGCAAATCAGAAGTTTAAGATGGCTTAAAACGAAATAATTAAAATAATAATAAATCAAATTCTCTAATTTCATCTTCTAAAATAGGTCATGCTTATTCTAAAACTATGTAACAACAAAATTCACATCCTGATTTAAAAGTAATCTTATATACTCAAATATAGACTCTTAAATTTATGATTGATTCTTCCAAAATACAGCTTAGTACTGAGAGAAATACTACATTGCCTGAGAATCAAAGTTCCAAATTCTAAAATAATCGAATAAAGACTGAACAGATCACTTAGATGTTATATCCTAAAACTACTACTAATTAATAGTTTAATAAGTAATCCAATCTATAAAAATTGTTTGGGTCTGATAAAAGAAAAAAATGAATTAATTAATTTTTTTTGAGTGAAATTGATTTTACAATTAATTTTTTAGTTAACTTTATTCTTTATGATATAAGTTCTGGATCAGAATGATAGAGAAATATACAAATATCGATTGTTATAAGGAGAAAATAGGTTTGGCAGTGATCTTAAGAAATGTAAACACATCATTAAAAATGTTCAAGATGTACTCTTCTCAGTAGTAATCTAATTCTTAAAAATTTAGGCTTTACTTAATAAAGATGTATATTTCACTCATTTTAGCACTTCTGATTAAATATTTAAAGAAGCAACTTTATCTAAAGATCAAAAAGTAGAGATTCCAAAAAATTTTATAATTGAGATGATTCCATTCAGAAACTACTATTTTTTAAATTTTAAGTTCAAATTACATAACTTTGTTGATAATGCTTAATTAAATAACTAATTAATCTTACAAACAACATAAATATTAGAAGATTTTGGTGGTACAATAACTTTGGATGATATTTTAGATAGTTCTTAATAAATTACAACTAAAATTTCAGCAACTTAATAAATATCAACTACATAAATTCTAAGTTCCTAAGAGCCATTAGTGTCTTCTACATTAATTTTAAATGAAAATGATTAATCTACCCTATCAAGTTTAAAAGAACTAATCACACAATATTCAAAGATAAATTAAATGATAAGTTCAAATTCTTCTACTATTGATACTTCAACATAAACAGACAATATGGAAGTAGAACCTAAGTAATAGAAGACTAGAACTATATTTAGTGAGCTTTTTAAGTCTAAAAAATAAACTTCTTAGATATAAAATCCATATAAAAACCATTAGTATCAATCTACACAAATTGATTAAACAATTCTTGATTCCCAAATATAAAAAATAATTCCAGAGGATATTCAAGACCTTTAATTTTTAAATAAAAAAGAAGAATATAGAGGTACAATAATTGATGAAGATTTGGATAAAGCTTTTTCTTCATCATAAAATAACAATACTACTAAGCAATAGGAATCTTCATTCAGACGTTTAAACAGTATTTAATCAGACAATGTTTAAATAACATTTTCAAAACAAGAAAATAATTATTCAAAAATTGACTTAAATGATATTTTTGGAAGTTTACCAGAAATACCAAATTAATAAATTCAATAATAACCAAAAATAATCAAAAAGTTTAACTTATCTAAGTCTAATATTTTAAATTGTAGGTATGATGATACATTAGAAGATAAGAATAAATCGTAAGATCAAAAAGAATAAACTCCATTAAAAGTTAAAAATTAGAATTAAAAATTAACATCGTAAATCTGGAAAGCTGGAAAAAAACAAAACAAAAGTGAATTAAAGAAAGTAGCATTATTAAAGAAAATAACAGATGAAATATCTGATTAAACCTCTGAAGAACCTGTATAATAGAAATAAAATTTCAGACATGCCAATTCAATGGAATTACCAAAAACAAAGTTATCTTAACAAAATATCTCTATTATAAAAAAATATAAGGGAAATCAAAAAAAAGTTGAATAAAAAGATAAAATTATTCGTTTAATAGCATTTAGTGGATTTTAATAACATGAAATACCATAAAAAAGTGATTTAAAAATATTAGGTTTAGAAATTGTAAATAATCAATTGGATTATTTTGATTTGCTAATATTGAATAATCCTCCAAAACGAACTTTCAAATTTTTAAGTGCATTGATGCTTGGAGCTGAAATTGTAACATTGGATTGGTTAACTAATTCGCTTTAATAAGGGAATATTATTAAAAATTACTAAGATTACATTCCTAGAAGTGAAGAGTTTTAAAATTCTTTTGGATTAAGCATTTAGCAAATCTTATAAAGTAGGAATTCCTATTTTGAAATAAATTAAAATCTAGTAAAAATTTTTGAAGGGAAATATTTTGTTAAAGTTGATGTTACACCTTCAAAAGCTGAGATTGAATATCTAATTAAATTAGGAGGTGGAGAGATACTATAAAAACCTGGTAAAAATGTGATCACTATAAGCGATATTAAATTAGATAATTCTATGCCATCAGATTATATTCTCGATGGATGTATGTTTCAATAATGAAAAGTGTACTCCCTTTGAATATTTTTGATATTTATTTATTTGTTCAATTTTTGATAGTATTTAACTACAAATTAATAAAGTTTAATAGTATTGAAAAATTCAGAAACATATCACTTAATTTGAAAAATGATATAAACTGATTTTGATAGATATTAGGATATCATAAGTTCATTATAAATGTTCCATCCAATCTTTTGAACCATTAATCCAACGTTCTTTATCGCATGTTGTATTCAAACTATTGTTTCTATACATAGTGGCCATTAATAAATGCTGAAATTTATTAAATATTTACATCAGTGAATTTTCCATTATGATTGTATTCTTTTGGAATCGGAATGTAGGACTACTTGCTTCCAATCAATTATCCATGAGTTCTATAGAATTATTTTGCATGAAGTTTCATAAATTCTAATATAAATAAATGTTGATTTGGTACCTTCATCAGAAAGTTCTTTGGTATTAGTAGATTAATTGGTGTTCATGAGAATTTAAGTTTGAAAATATAAATATTAATTAATTGTTCACATTAAGTAACAACTTATTTATATATCAATTAATATTAAAAATTTAACAGAAATATATAATAAATTTATTAGAATATAAATTGCTTATAAAATTAATATTATATTAGATTTATTTTCTATATATTTAATGTTTAAATTATCCTCAAAATTAGTATTCTCATTGATCAGTTACTATATTTTGATTGAAATAATTTTAGATTTCTCCTTATATATTTTATAACTTTTTTTTTTGATAAGTTTTTGTGATAAAAACCAAAGTAAGAGAAGATTTATTATTTATCATTGATAAATTTTTAAGAATAGAATAAAAATAAATAGAGAAAAGTTTGATGTTCATTTAAATTATTAATATATTATTTCATTTATGTAGTTTATGAATTTGGAAGAATACTTAACTACTAGAATGCAAGAGATGTCCAAGTTTTATAATCAGCTCAATATTCCAATATGTAACAAATGATTATTAGAAAAGATGATGACATAAAGTTCAATGTATAAGTTAAAGAATAACCATTTGAGAATAGAAGTTTAAAACATTTTGAATAAAAACAGGAAACTGTATCGAATTCATTGATGAATGAATTCTATGAAGAAACTTAACATCAACAAAATAAATATACAGACATCTTTGATGAAATGCCAATAAAAGGAGCTTAAAAACCATTTGAATAATTATTATAAGATCAAGGTATTGTTTAATAGGAAATGAAGAATAAGAAAGTATTTTTAAAGAAGGGAACTAGATAATTCTTATCCAACGCATAAACAAGATCAGAATTATCAAAGAGAGAACATGAAGAGATCTTAAAGATGAATAATGAAAATGCTTTAGAATAATAATAACAAAAGAAGTTGCCTGTTAATTTTTTATAGAAAGGTAAAGGAAAATAATGTACATAAAAACCAAATGATTCAATTTTGGATCATACTAAAAATGATGAAACCATTATTTAATAACATGATGATAAAAATGAGTTAAAAAAAGAGAAATAACTATTAGAGTAATAACAAAAGGAATTATAAAGAATGAAAATTCAATAATAAAAATAATTAGAATAAGAAAAATTGGAATTTGAAAAATGGAAGGAAGAGGAAAAGAAAAAAATTGAAAGAATTACTAAAAAGCATTATACTATTCAATAATAAAGATAATAATAATTAACAACAAAATAATTAGAAGAATTAGATTTCCTTAGAAAAAGAGTGGCTTAATAAAATGAGGAAATAAAGGAATTAAAATTAGAATTAGAAAAATCATAACAACAATTATAATAGATGAACACTAATCAAAACACAAGTACTAATAATATTACTAAGTTGATTGCTTAATCATCTCCTCCTTAAAGTAATTATTCTACTAAAACATCTAATTTTTCAGAAAATAAAACAAATTCATATGCCATGATGCATAATAAATAAGGCTGTATTAATGAAGAAGAAGAATATGAAACTAAAAATGGAGATGATTAAAATAGTTATCAAAATGGAGATAGTTATGAATATGAGAAAATTAAAATTGATTTAATTTAATTAAAAAACTAACCTACTATTTCAATAGATATGATTAATGATTTGATAGATGAATCAGAGTTTGAATTCAAAAATAACAAATTTTATGTGTAATATTTAGATTATTTGAAACAAGATGATAAGGTCATTTAATAAACTTAATCTGCAGATGGAAAAATTTCAAGAACATATTTGAGTGGCAAAAAGGAAGTGATTTTTAATAATGGAGTTAAACGAGAAGTGTTTTCAAATGGTTTTACTATTGTACATTTTACAAATAATGATAAAAAGTAAACTCTGCCTGATGGTACTATTGTCTACTATTTTGGTCAAGCTAAAACTACATAAATAACAATTCAAAATGGACCATAGGTATTATTCATTATATAATATATAGATCTATCGATTTTCAAATAATTAAATAGAAATCCATTTTTAAAATGGTGAAAAATAGATTAGATTCTCTGATGGAACAAAAAAGTATATATTTTCTAATGGTGAGGAAGAGACCTTGTTTAGTGATGGAATATTTCAAAAAATAGATGTGAATAAGGTAAAATATATTGAATATCCTGATGGAAAGATTGAGATCACTTATCCAGATGGCAGAATAGAAACCTAATCTCAAAAAAAAAAACATAATTGAATTTATTTTATCTATTAACTTAAAAGATTATTTACTATAAAAATTGAAAATTATAACCAATGAAATAAGGATAGGTCATAAGGAAATTTGAGAGTATAATTGTATCAAGAAAATAGGTTTCGGCTTTAGTTCTTTAAATCCTTCTGACCCTAATGCTGAGAAAGAATTGGTGTTACATATTTCAAATCAAGTTTAAAAGGGAAATGATTTTAAAATAAAAATGTATAGTTGAATGAAGATTTCAATTTTGAAATAGAAAATCCACAAAACAACTAAGTTAGATCTAGCAGATTTTAGATTACTTTATAAAAATCAAGAGCTCTCTAAAAAATGAAGATTTAGAAGTAAGAAATAAAATGAATAACATTAAAGGATTATGGAATCCAGAATCATGTAACTCTAAAATTATTGGCTCGAAAGTAGGGATAATAGTTGTATTTTATCAACAGTATTCACAATATATTGGAAGAATCAAAAAAAACTTAAGAGCAATTTTAAAATGCTAAATGGGCAGTTGAAGGAGCATTTATGAAATGAATTACACCTAAATTAACTGATTTTGGTACTCAAGGTACTTATATTTTGAAGGATTAAATCATAAACCTGTGGCCATTTTTAAACCTTTTGGTGAAGAGGAATGAAAGGCAAAATGAATTCTCCAAGACTTCAATAAGGAATTTTGTCAGGAGAAGGAGTAGATAGAGAAGTGGAAGCATATTTGATAGATTAATCATCTGGACATTATCATAATGGTAATTTTGAAGATAAGCAATTTAGTACCTATAACTGATTATGATTAATTTTTTCATCCTGCATTTCATGCGGCTGAACAATACAAATAATTTTAGTATGAAAAAATTCCCATTAAAGAGGGATCATTTCAACTGTACATAAAACATGACGATAATGTTGGAAATTTTGGAAGTGGTTTGTATCCTTCTTTTGAAGCAAGAAAATAGCCATCTTAGATATTAGAATTCTAAATTGTGATAGAAATGAAGAAAATATTTTGGTTAGAAAAAAGTAATATTATAATAATATTGTTTTATTTTAGAAAAATTAATTAAACCACTGGTTAAACTAGATAAGCTTATGATTATTTTCTTATACCTATTGATTATGGTTATACATTTCCAGATTGTTTCAAAATATGAAGAGATGAAGTAGTATGGTATCAATAGGGATGAATGACTTAAAAATTTACTTAAGAAGAAAAGTGTTTTATTGACAAGATTGATCCGATAAAAGATGTTCAAATATTGAGAGAGAAGGTAAAATTGAGAGAAATTTGTTTGAGAAATGTTAGAATATCTGCAACTTTATTAAAGCTTTGTGCATAAGTAGATTTAACCATCCACATATTTCTTATTTAAAATAATTAATTTAATAGTGAAATATTATATAGAGAAAATCCGGATGAATTATCAACTATTGAAATTGCTATTAATAAAGCTGAATACAATTAAGAGTAAGTTAATATATTTTATAACCAGTAATAATATAAGAGTGCCGAAAGGATATTCAAATTTAAAAGAAAAAATATTTTCAAATAATTTAATAAAAAAATCTTTTGAATTTGATTCTTTTACTTTATAAATTCAAGAGAGACCTAAATTAGAAGAGATCCTCCAAGATGAGGATGAAAACTCAAAACTTAATAATGATACAATGATCAAAGATAATTAGAAGATTTAAACTTCAGATAAAAAATTAGCTAGAGTTCAATCTTAACAAGTAATTAAAAGATATCCAAACCCTATTGAAAAAGTCTGGAATGATGATTTCTTCTCTCATGTTATTTATTTCTTGCAACAAATTATTGATGGTAAGATTTAGGAAAAATCCCAATCTCCTCATAAATATAGAGCAAGGTACATCAATGAAGAGATCAAATGTAGAAATATTATTTAAGAATATTTTAGGAAAATTTTTATATTATAATATTTATTGTTTCAAAATTGTTGGTATATTGGACTTTCAATATTCCATAATACTATTTTCTTCGTATTCACATTTACTCTTCTTCTTAGAAGTCGTTAGTAATTAGAAGGAATTTACACTAGAAATTACATTATTTAATAAATCACCTATTACTCATCTCTTATTCATCATCGCTGATGTAGTTTTATTCTATTATCTCATCATTTTATCCTTTGAGCTATTGTTCTCTTTACAACTCTATCAACTCTAAGTGATGTCGATGTTTCTTTGATTATTTTGTAGGGTATGAAACATCGTCACTTTCAGAAGATTCACTTATTATACTCTTGTATTGTTTATTCATTAAGATAATCTCTAGAGCTTTTTTTTATAATGGATCATAATCATTCAAAATTGATATTCTTATTTAATGTTCATAAGATACCCTTCTCTTTAAAATTTCTACTTAATTTAACCCAACTTCATTTAAAATTCAGGCATTCTTTTTTTCATGCCACTATTCCAGTGGTTCTTGATTGAATTATCAGTTCTTCCTTTGACATGCTTGGCTATTTCAGCCCATTTATTGCCTTAATGTATAATCAGGATTAATACTTAAAGCTTTATGATATAGGAATAAAACCCATTCTTCATCTTCTTCCCAAGGAGTTTTCTTTATCAAAGGATTTAAATGATTATGCCATCTATTAAATTAAAATTCATTATCACCTTTCTCTACATTATTTTCCTATTCTTCCATCTAATTATTAGGCAATTTAAGTCCATTTTTAAGGACCAAATTCTTAAACTAATTCAATTACTCTGAGATCCTCTTCATCTGTCCAAGGTCCTATAAGACATTACAAATTTAAATTTACTCTTGCGGATAACCTTATGAATATTTTATTTATTTTATTTCATTTATTTTAAATTAATCAAAAAGATCATTCATTATAAAATTAATTTAATAATATCGTTTAGAAAAGCTTAGATTTCTTTTAAATTTTATATAATATTCCTAATAATAAGTTGTTAAATATTTTAATTATATTTTATATTAGATAATTAAATGAGTGAGGATATATTAAGTAGAAGTAACATGGGTGAATTTGGAGAAGTATGTTTTCATTTAGATTTGTTATTTAGGATTTTGATCAACAACTCTATGAAAGATGTGAACAATTTTGTTAAAAATTAAGACGAACAAATTAATAGCTCTACAAGTTTAATTTAATATCAATTTTAGATAATTTTCCAATATTGTTAATTAAAATACTAAAGCTGCTAAAGAATAATTGGGATAAATGTTAAGTGAGGAACCAGAAATATTAAAGGAAGTTAATGCTTTATTAGAGGATGATGTCAAATTCAAGACTCAGAAAGAGAGATTGACTGAGTTCATAAACAATGAGAGTAACAAATCTAAGGCTTTAGAAATGATATTGAAATAAATCTAAAATGGACATTTAGATGGACATCAAAACAAAGATCATATATTGGATTTATTTAGCAATGAGCCTTAATTACAATAATAGTTTTTGTAAAGTTTCAAAAAGAAGCATGACCAAATTCCACCAAAAAAAAAAATTGAAGAAAATAGAAATTATTTTTAAAAACTATTGGATAAGAATGGGGTTGTAGATATGGTAATACTTAAATTTATATATTAGAATGAATTGCTCTTTTGGGATAAATTTAGAATGAGGGTAATTCAATAATACCCCAATGATTTTCAACAATTTATGAATGAATTTATGAAGATTATACATTTATATTCTGAATGCATAATAACTTAGATGGAAGTGATGGAGTTAATCAATTAATAAGAATGGCTAGAAACTGAATACATTGATGATATTAGATCCATGTTGTCTACAAGGGTGATTGCTAGAAGAATATAAACTCCTCTTTTTAAACCTTTGAAAGATACAGATTTTGCTTAAGTGGACAGAGTAACTAGATCCTATGTTAGAATGCCTATTGGATATGCAAAGGCTAATAATAATTAAGAAATTCTTAACCATTCTTGGGTATCAGTACCATTTGGTTCTGAAGATCAATCATTCTTAATTATGAGAAAAAACACTTTTGAAGAACAACTTTTTAAAAGTGAAGATGAAAGATTTGAATTTGATGTCAATATTTAATAAATAAAAAGAACCATAAATTTATTATAAGAAATAATTGATAGTAATAAAGAGGATCCAATATTGATTGCTAAAGTAATTAATATGAGAATCTTACAACAATTATATCGAAATTAAACTTAAGATTAAAATGAAGTGCTTTAGATATTTTAAACTAAACCTGCTGAAAGTGCAAAAATTCTCATTAAGAGAGTGAGATCAAAATTAAATGAATTAATATCAGCAAGAAATAACAAAGCTAAATAAATTTGGGAAAATGTCTCATTAAATAACTTTCATCGTTCACTTGATCACAGATCTTTTTATTTTAAAAAAAATGATAAATTAGTAATTAATGGATAAAGATTTGCAAGAGAAATAGAAGAATATGCCAAAAATGTCTTAATAAAGCATTTAGGATCAAAAGAACATGTATTTGTTAAAAGAAAACAAGATTAAATATAATATACATTTGAAAATTCATTTCTGAATTCTCTGGCTTAGATGACTAACATAAGACCAACTTTACCTAAATAAATGCCATTAATTACTTCTATCAAAGATAATATCCGTTTTTCTCCATTAATTTCTTTATGGATGGGAAATGAATAAATTTTATAAGAATGTGGTTAATTTGTTATTCATTATCTCCAGATTATGGGAGGCAATAATTCTCTGGATAAAAGAAATGGAACCGTATTTATGATAAAGTTAATCAATCACTTTTTTTAAGTTCCAATGAAACCAATGCAAATTTCATAATTGACATTAATAGATACAAAATTAAAAAATGAAATATAAGAACTTGAAATATATGATATTCATTATAATCCAGAAGATGCTACAATATCTATTCCAGAAATAGAAAATGAATCTCCAGGCTTATTTTTAAATTTACAACCTAGAGTCAAATCAACTACATATGTTACATAAAATCTATATATCCTTTTGAGATTTCTACATACTATATATCAAAGATTAGAAATGGGTTATGTGATTAGTCAATAAAACAAATTAGGATAAGATAAGAGATATAATTTATTTAAATCTGCGTTATTTCTTTCATTAAAGGCCAAAGACTTTAAATATGAAGATCATTTACGTAGTTTATTTGGAAAGCATGTAAATTGATTATTAATAACTTTAGGGTTTCATATTTTCAACTTTAGAAAAGGTTTTTCATGATGCTGCTAAGTAATTAGCTATTTGTGCTTCTGATGTTGTAACAATGTCATTTTTTGAAAAATCATAATCAATAGAAGGAGACCTTGATAAATACTTTTCAGTTGTTTCTAGTATTGTTAATGGTGAAGGAATTAAGGTTTCAGATTTAGAAGCTTCTGTTTTTTGTAAGTTCTAAGAATTACAAGAGGAAGAACAATTACTTAAATTACATCATGTATTTTCTCGCCATAAACCAGAAAAGAAACCTATCTATAGAGTAAAATTGATAATGTTATTTTTAGATAGCTTGTTGGCATAAAGCTTGTTTTATTTCAATATTACCAGCATATGGGGGTTGCAATTAAGATGTATGTAAATCTTGTAAACAACCTTTCTTAATGAGGAATATGAAAAGAGGTGAAAGAAGAATGATGATAAATAATAGTATTGAATGGATTGTTGATGAATTTAGCCATTTCAAACCTATCAATAATTGGGGAGAAGATTATTTAAAATGTGTATGATTGTAATACAAGGAATAATTATTTTAATTGTGCAATTTCTAATAATTAAAAATTATTCAATTTTTTAGAAATATTTATCAATATAATTTAAAAGTAAATTTATATGTATAATATTTAAATGTTATGAATGTACCTTTCTCCTCTATCATTAACATTCTATTTATCTTGTATTTGTATGAAAAGAAATAATATTATGTTTAAATGGTTATATATTACTGAATTCTTTGAATTGAATAAGAAAATGACGTATTATGATTAATTTTTAGTCAATAATATCAGAAATATATTAACACAGTTAAATTTCTAATGATTTCGTAATGAAAAAAGAATTTAAATGGATTCTAGATTTGTGATTAAAAATCAATAATTAAAATAAATTGTAATTTAACCAACAATTTACTATGGAAGTTAATATTAAAGAATTAAATGAAGGTCCAGCAATCGTAATTGATGGGCAAACAAACGTAGATTTGGATTCAGAAATAAAGGAATTTCAAGAAGGCTAAACAAAGAACCCTACATAAGTTCCTGTAAAACCTGGAAAATATATCCTAACAAATGGTGATAAAGTTACATTGAAATTTGCAAAGGGTCTAATCCTATGCAATCTTATTGGATTTGTTTTTTTATTTGTAGGATGTACTATCATCTATACAATCCTCAAATCTAATTGGTATGATGAAATGATAGTGTCCTTTTAAATCTTCATTTTTTCAGATGTCTTTTTAGTAGGAGAAAAGATTTTGTTTTTCGCAGCTTTGATAAACAAAAAGAAAATAGTTAAATTATGTCCCTTTTTAAATGTTATCTCATTATTACTGAAGATAGTGGCTAGTGGATTGATTGTGTAAGACATTTAATTAATAATATTAGTCACATGATTCCTTGTGCATTGGCAGTTAGTCTCGTTTTAGTGCTTCTCTAAATGCCTCATAATATCATGATTAAAGTAATCACTAAAAGATGGAGGAATATCCCATAAAGAAAGTGGAAAAAGTAATTAATTTTAGTTAGAAAACCAATCCCTTAGAAATGAGATTGTTAATGATGTAATTTTGTTTATATTTTCTTAATTTATAATATATTCTCCTGTATTTATGAAAAATAAATAATCAAATAAATAAAAAATATAACAATTACAACTATTACTAATATGTTTTTAATTACTATCTCTTTTTTAAATACAGACCCAAGAAGTCGTATCAGCTGTTTATTTAACTGATATCCTATCTTCTTTCTTAATATTTAGTATTTCTCTCTAATTCTTTCTAATCTATATAACTCATTAAGTTAGATATTGTAAAACAAATATCTCTTTAAACTCTAAGTCTTTTAAGATCATTATTAAAACATATTTTAAGGAATTAAAAAGACATTAATCAATAAAAATTAATATTATTATGATTGATTATATAAAGGAAACAGGCGATTTTCTCATTACAAAATAAGGGTCCATGAGTTCGTTTCAATAGAATAGTGAATCAAGTCCAAAAAACTTATTAGGTAGTCACAAATAATTTCGTTTTCCAACAATTTCTAATGCATTATTGAAATCAGCCATTGAAGCCAATTACTTAGAAGCTGATCAAAAAAATAATATCATTCGAAATCCAAATTAATTAACAGTATTTAGAATGCATTTTGACACAAATTCACCTAGAACTCAAGCTGCAATGGAAATGCTTAAGTTACATGTAGAGGATCTTTAAGTGAAAGATTATGAAGAATTTTATCAAAAAAGAAAAGATCCACTTCAGAACCTTATATCATATTTGTAATATGTAACTAATAAATACAAAATATTGAATGAAATCTTAAAAAAAAGAAATTAGATTAAACATATATAATCTTAAGTCTCTAAGTAAATGAACTCTAAAAACATTAAATTTAAAGATGAATCAATATCAATAGAATAAACTGAATCAAAGAAACATTTCTATGAGGATGGACATTCATCAATATTAAGTGCAAATTAAAAGAAAGAACTTTTTGATAAGAAATTGATTAAAGCTTAAGAAAATTATAATAAGTAATATTTTAAGTATAATATTTAGGTTTCTCAATTTAGTACATGATTAAATTAATAAATAAGATGAATATTATAGTAAGACTGCCCCAGAGATGTATTAAAAAGCTGAGAGATTGAAATAAAAATAATTGGAATTAGTAAGAAAGAAACTTAGGAGAAATCATTTAAAAGTAGATCAGATATGTTAAAAGGCAAAAAAAGAAGAATAAACTTAATATAGAGAACATTAAAAGTTGGTTTAAGAGTTGGAGAAAGATCATAATCTTCATTAGGAAAGAAAATAAAAATAATTGTAATAGGCATAAGAGGAATTATTGGAATAATTAAGAAAGAAGGAAGAAAAGGAAAAAGAAAGATAATTAAAGAGATAGATGTAGATGAATTTAGAATAGAGTATGATAGATTAGGTGATGGATTCAATAAAAAAGAAGGCTGATTATATGAATGATTATTTGCATAAGAAATAGGAAGAAGATAAGAAAAGACATCATTAAAATTTAAAGATATTTGAAGAGAAATAAAAGAAATTATAGGAATCTTATATTCAAAAGGATAATTAAAATGTTTAAACATATTTTAGCAAATCAACTTAAAGATAAGTAAATATATTGTTTATATTTAGATATAAATAAATAAGCATGAAATATCTTAATTGAAATAGTAGAAGAGTTTATCTTTAAAAAATAGTAGAATAATGAAAAGAATTGAATAATTTTAGGAATCTTTGGATTAAAAGAGATTTGAAGAATTGAATTCAAAATTGTAAGAAACAGATGAGAAATTAGAAGGAGGATTAAAAAGGTATGAGATTTAATAATATATATAAGACATTAATCTTTATTGGATTTAAGAAAACACAATTTATCTTAAAAGAATGAACATAGATTTAAATTAGCAAAATAGAAATAAATGGAAAATATGTTAGAAAAAATACATAAACAAAATAAAATTTTATCAAAAAATCTCGAAATTACTTTGAAAAATGACAAATTAAAATAGGAATAAGAATTTTTAGAGAAATATAAAAAAGAATAATTATAAGATCATGTTATTTAGAGAAATATATTGGCTTAAAAATTATCATCTTGATTTTTATTTTGGTTTTATATTATTTTTTCATAATTTGAAAAAATGTAATATTATATTTAGATTATAACAAGAAAAAATAAATATGAAGAGAGAATTCAAATTATTGTAATAAAATGAATGAAGAAACAAAAACTCTATTAAAAAAGATATTGGAAATGCAATTAGAATGCACATAACTATTAACTAACATTTTATTTAAAAAAAATCCTTAATCAAATGATTGTGAATAACAAAACAAGAAAATCGACTAATTAGAGGAATCTAAATTACAATTAGATGTATCTAAAAAAAGAAACAAGAAATCAAATAAAATAATTAATTATAATGATAAACTTGTTTAAAGTGATGAGGAGATATAATTATAATAATTATTTTAGATGACTCCAAAAGGATTACTATAACCTGAATAATGTTATAAGCAACTTAATATGATTGTATAGAAATTTAGATAGTTGAATTCTTTGGCTAATAAATCATTCCAATTAGACTTTGAAAACATTAAGACTTATCATAGTAAAAATAAATTTAGATATTTGAGAGCAATAACTAAATTGTTTGTAAAGAGCATAAAGAATTTAAAATAAATTTAATCTAAAGATAATTAATCTGAAATGTTTTAATGTCCATCATGTGACTTTTCAGGTATAAGTAGTGTATTCTTTCCTCATATTTTGAAGAAGCATTGTTAAAACTATCACATATTTAATTGTTTTTTGTGTTCCAAAGATTATTAATCTCATACTTTGCTACTTACTCATTTGAAAAGATATCATAGCAATTTAAAGAAGAATTAAAAATAAGAAACAAATTCATAGCTTTAATAATTAGATGATGTGAGTATTAGTCTATGAAATTATATATTATTAATTAATAAATAATTTAAATATATGAATACATTAGAATGCCCTCATGGTTGTGGTAGAACTTTTGATGATAACAAAAAAATGGATGATCATATAAAAAGAAGACATTTTCTATAATAGAGAGTATATCCTAGTTTATATGAAAATACAAATGTAAATATGATGCAAAAAAAAGTAAATGTAATAAGACAAAAATTACCTTAATTACATGATAATCATTTGCAAACTTAATAATCATCTACCATAACATAATAATAAATTTCAGAATCTATTATATAATAATTACCCCCAAAACCTATTTCGAAAATATAATTACAATTCAAAAAAAATTAGATTCTTCGTCCAAATTCAAGCAATAGAAAATTAGAGGATATATAAAAAATTGGTGATTAAAAAAATAAGGATTATAATGATAATAAAGAGATTTAAAAGAATGAAAAAATCATTGAACCCTCTCCAGTTATATCAGCATAGGATTTAGTGGAAGCAAGAAAAATTATAACTAAATAATTTATTTGTACTAATAGTGATGGTTCTGATTTAGAATCAGTAACACATTTATCTCTTATTGACAAAAATCTCTTGATTTTTGAAAGCACTACAGATGTCCAATTTTAAGAATTAATGTAATCCTATATTAAATTAGTAGTGCCTTAAAGAGTCTCTCATTATCATAAAACAAATTGATAAATGTAATAGGAATTAGTGTATTACACAATATTGTAGATTTGAATATTAACAACAATAAAATAACAACTCTCTAACCTTTAGGAGAATGTAAAAGACTCTAAAAATTGTATGCCAATCATAATCTAATCAATACTATAGATATTGGATTAATGATTCATTTAAAAATATTTTAAATTGGAAATAACTAAATTACTGATTTTGAACATTTGGTTTAAAGCATTAAATTAATGCCTAGTCTTAAAGACCTAGTCATTGAATATAACCCTTGTACATAAAAATATGCTTACAAATATGATATATTATGGACAGTATTTTTAGATAAGTTGGATAATCAGATTATTACTTAATAAGATTACAATTTGGCCTAAGCTTTCAAAGACAGCAAATAAGAATCTAAATTATCATAGAGTATGAATTTTTAAAAGGGTCTTAGACCATAAACAGCTTCAACAATGAATAATAATACATTTTAATAGGATATATAAAATGATAATTCACAATCTAATATAATGTTGGAATAGTTAAATTATGAATTGGAAGAAGAAATAGAAGAATTATATGAGATAAATTCTAATAATAGAGAGAAAATAGATAAATTAGAGATGCAAAATGTTGAATATAGACTTATTGCTGATAGAGTTCCATTTTTAGAAGAATAATTACAAGATATGAGATCAAAGATAAGTGCTTATTAAACTTTGATAATATTCAAAGATTCACCTGATCATGAATTAAGGAAACACATATTTGCTTTAACTTAAGAATTGGAAAGATTAAAAAGTAATAATAATACTGTTGAAAATTATGAAGAAGAAAATTAAACTAAATTTAATATGAATTAATCAAAATTCTAGAATACAGAAACAACATTTATATAATAATTATCTTAAGCAGAAAGTGATAATGAAAATAAGGAGGAGGATGAAGATGATGATGATAAATATTTGTAATATATTGAATTTATTAATTTAGCCGAGATGATGAAAATATTTCATAAATTCCAGGATAAGAAATAATGGAATTGATTATGAGAAATTCAATGACTTTAAGCAAACTAAAAAATGAATTCAAAGATATCAATTGATTCTTCTATATGATAATTAAATATATTAAATATATAAATAAAAAAAGTCAATAATGTCAGAATATTTTAGAAAATACATTAAAAAAGAATATTATGGAAATCATTAGTAATTTTTATTAATAAATTATTTAGTACTAATATCAAATATAAAACATCATTTAGAAATTGTATTTTAGAAGTATGATTGCATGAATAATGAAAGGCATTTAAGAGGAGAAATTGGAAAGAAACTGATGGTGACGATTGGGATATTATGTGGGCTGAGAAAGAATGGATTCATGAAGTTATGGATCATATTCACTTATAATCTCATTAAAAAATTAATCATTTTCGTAATCATTATGAGGTAATTATTTTTAATATTCAATTAGTTAACTCGCAAAGATCTCATGATAAAGAATTTAAAGAAGTAAAAAAGAGCATTAGAAAAAGAAGGAAAAATTGATGAAGCAAATGCGTAATTAAAGTAATTTAACAATTTTAGTTATAATTTCTTTCCACTTACCTATCATTTACCTAGTGAATATCCTATCTTTAATGAAGAATTTAAAAAGTAAGGAGAAAATAAAACTGCATGGATTATGAAACCAGTAAAAAATTTATTTAATTATCTTTTATAGATAGGTAAATCTTAAGGAAGAGGCATATTCTTATTTAACAAAATATCATAGATTTCTTAATGGAAGAATCAAGTTAAGTTTAATCCTGAAAATCCCTCTGCAGAATCATACATAGTTTAAAGATATATTGCTGATCCACTTTTAATTGGAGGCAAAAAGTTTGATACTAGAATCTACTTATTGTGTACATCTTATTCCCCTTTAACTTTATATTTATATCGTACAGGATTTGCTCGTTTCACTCATCATAGATATAATAATGATGATATCACAAATGCTTGTATACTTATTGCATGAAGATTTAGATGTACATTTAACAAATGTGGCCATCCAAAAGAATTCAGAAAATTATGATGAAAAATTAGGAGGTAAATGGGATTTATAAAAATTGAAACTATTTTTAATGACAAAGTATGGATAGGATAAGGTTTAAGAATGTTTTTATAATGTTCAATAATTAATGATTAAATCTTTATTAGCAGTTCAAAAAATTATTATAAATGATAAACATTGTTTTGAATTATATGGATTTGATATCTTATTTGATTCTCAATTAAAGCCTTGGCTTTTGGAAGTGAATGCAAGGTATAAAACAAGTAAATTAACAAAAGTCCTTCAATGACATCTAATACACCAATTGATTTTGAATTAAAATGTGGATTATTAGATGATGTTTTTACAATTATTGATCTTGAAAAAATATTAAATGGAAATGAGGAATAAATTGGAGGCTTTGATTTAATTTATAAAGGAGGTCCTATAAAAAATAATTATAATTGTTCTTCAATATCATTTCTTGGTACTTTTAATAATAGAAAAATATAATTGAAGAAATTAGCAAAGACATGTGGTAAATAATTATGAATATTAATCTTAAGCATTAAATATGGCCCATGGGATTGATAAGTAATAAATTCAAAGTTCTGAAGGAACTAAAAAGGATAAGGAAGAAAAAGAGAAGTAAATGAGAAGTTCATCAAAGAGTTCATAAATTACATAAGTAGTATTTTTGAATTGATAAAAGAACTAAAATAATATAAATAATGGAGTAATCAATATTAAAAGAAATTCTACAGATTTACCTATTTTAATGAATAAATAAAATGCAATAAGGAAATTGGCTTTACAAAATAGTCAACAAAAATAGAAAATATAAATATAACAATAAAAAGGGGAATACTAAATTTCAAATTAAAATAAAGTGTATGAGAATTAGTTATTAATTTAGAATATCTTAATTAAATAATTCTTCATTCAGTCCAAATGTTAAAATAGAGATTAATTCAAATCAGTAGAATAATAATATACCTAAGGATAGTTTTAGAACTTTACCAAAAATAGTAAAAGATGAATCTTATATTTCAGATGTTTGAATTAGATATTGTAATCATAAACTCAATTTTATAAAGATTTAAAAAACAATAATAAATTTTACCCAAAAATATAATTTAATAAATAATTACATATATATATATAATTTTAATGTAAATATTACCACCAGCTGATAGAGTCTTACATTATTAAGAAACAAAGAGCTGGTTTAATTCTAGACATTCATTTAAAGTAAAGGAGAAATATAGAAAGACAGAGAAGGAATTATTTGATGATGAAGTAGTTACAGAAACTTTTCATTTGATTGATAGAGATCACTCAAGTATAAAATTAGAAAAAATGTTTAAGATACAATAGAGATGGATGAACTGTTTTCTATGTTGAAAAAAAACAATTATCCTGTAAATTTGAAACTTTTGAAGGCATTTTTTGAAATGACTGATCGTGATGGGAATAGTAAATTTCTATAAATATACAATAAGAATGCATTGATTTAGATGAGTTTAAATAGGTTATTAAAGATGAAGGAACTTCTTAAAGTAATATAATGATTAAGATTAATATAGCATTTAGAACATTAATGAGAAAGATGAGAGAAATAGGAGATGAGAATTATTATTCAACTGATTTTGTAAATTTACTGAGATATTTGTCTTATTGTGCAAATCGTACAGATTTGATATGGCAAATAAAAGTATTTATTCATCTTTATATTTATATCAATAATACAGAATACACGTCTATCATTCGAATAAAGATCTAAGTTAGTATCAGAATTATTTAAAGTGAATTAATAATTTACAAAGATATCAAATCCTAAGGAGGAACAAATATGTACATTGAGACCTTTTATGAAAAAGAAGAGTTAAGGTGAAATCAAATATCTTACTCCAATAAACAAAAAGCCTCGTATAATAACTAATATGTCTACTAAAACTAGAATAAGTACCAGTAATCAAAATTCAATATTATCTTTCGATATAAATAGTATTTCATCACCAAGAATATCTCCATTAAAAACAGAAAGATTTGTATTTAAAAAGTGGATGAATTTAACACCAAGTCCATCCACTAAAACAACTTTATATTCGACAAAATCCATTTAAAAGATTAATAATAAGTTTTGATAATATATATATATATATATTTATATCTATAATATTTAGAATGAAATACAAATTTATTGTTAAAATAAATAAGGTATTTGATATCGAATGTAACATTTTGTAACTGGAATATTTCAATCTTTTAGCATGTGTGGTCTCAGGAATAAGCTTGTTCATATGCTTGCCTTTCGTCCACCTTAAGCTACATATGAACTGAGATTGAGAGAGTAAAAAAAATAGAGAGTTAATAAAAAATAGCGATATTACTCATTTGATGATAGTGGGTATTTCAATTTGTAAAACAATGCTGAATAATAATTGACATTGATAAATGATTAATAATATTTGCATAGGAGAAGAAAGACAGTGAGGAATCCTGAGTAAGATTAGAATTTATGTGAAGATTATATCCAGAATATGATTTCATCAAAATACCGAATAAGAAAATTCATTTGGATGAAGAAATAATTGTGAGATCTGATATATGCAAAATAACATCATATTTTCTGAACTAAAACAATAATTAATAAATAGCATCAGTGCATTTAGATAAGAATAGTGATTACGTAATATTGTTTAGTCACGGAAATGCTTGTGATTTAGGAACTATGATAGATAAATTAATTAGTATTCATATCTATTATTTATATATAGAACTTGTGTCTTACACTAAGATAAATGTTTTTGCATATGAATATAGTGGTTATGGTTAAAGTGAAGGAAAGAGCAATGATTTAAGCATTATTCGTAATATTTAAGTGGCTTATAATTTCTTGGTTCATTAATTAGGATATAAACCAACACAAATAATTGTTTATGGTTATAGTATTGGTTCAGGTCCTAGTGTAACTTTGTCATCCAATCCTTAATTTCCAATAGGTGGGTTAATTATAGAAAGTGGTTTTAGTTCTGGATTAAGAGTTATTAGTAATAAAATAGAAGACACTCCTTATTATGATTTATTCCCAAATATTGATAGAATTCAACTCATTAGATGTCCTATATTTATTATGCATGGAGCTAATGATAAAATAATATCTGATGAACATGCTAAATAATTAGCTTAGAAATCAAATAATTTATATGAATTATGGATACCTGATAATGTTGGTCATTCTGGTATTGATACAGATTTATAATATCGTAAATGTTACTTTTAGAAATTGAGAGAATTTATTGATTGTATAAATTTACACACTTATCATAGATATCACATTATAAAATGAAAATATTCCTGATTTAATTGATAAGAATACTGCCAAGTCACATGAAGTTACAACATGTAAACATTATTATTAAACTAAATTATTTTGATTCAATATTAATTAGTTTTTTAGGAATACATCATCATATAAATATTATTATTAATTATTAAATATATATTCAATGTAAACATGATTATTTATTTATAGGCTTTAAGAGTATCAATTAATCTAGAATGTCTAATTCTAAGTGTAGAAAATTCAAAAAAAATATCCGTTAATCTCCAATATTGATTAATTTCAAAACGATCTTATAGCCTTATTTTCTATTCAAAACTAAGAATCTTTAAAGAAACAATTATTAACCTTACTTCATCAATATAAATTACCAATACAATCCCTTGAATTTAATTAATTAACTAGAAAAGAAAATTTAATTATTATAAAAAGTAACAATGCTGAAATTAAATTAACTATGAATGGAAGATTCATTTATAATCATCTTGAATAAAACATTACCTATTAAATCTTTCCTAATAAATGTATATATCATGGTTAAATTAATAATAAAAAACCAAATGGAGAAGGAAGTTTTAAATGGGATAATGGTGAATATTATATAGGTCAATGGTTAAATGCTTAGAAACATGGTTTTGGTTAATGGACAGGAACATAATAAGATTATTATATTGGTTAATGGGTAAATGGATAATAAGATGGATTAGGTGAACATAAATGGAATGGAGATGTTTATTTTGGTTAATGGAAGAATTCAGTCAAAAATGGATATGGAGTTGAACAATTTCAAAATGGTGATAAATATATAGGAAACTACTATTGTGGTAAACCATAAGGATAAGGTGAATATAGATGGGTTGATGGTTCTATCTATTAAGGACAATTCTTAGAAGGAATGAGACATGGATATGGTAGATATGTTAATAAAAATGGAATTATTTATGAAGTAAAATATCATACCTAATTAGGGAGAATATTAAAATGATAAAAAGCATGGCATTGGAAAAATAACACATAAAGATTAATAGAATTCATTTGTAAATGATAGTAGAAATAATTAAGGAGTATTCTAATAATTAAATGATAAAATTGAAGATAATAATTAAAAATAACATAAATTGTAATCACATAATACAATCAACCAAGATAAATCTAAATAAGAAATAACCTAAAGAGAAAATAGATCTAATTCATCCTCATAGAATTATTAATCATATTTATACTCAACCTATTTAAATACTTATTAAAATCCTAATTTATCACCAAAAAACAACAAATAAAGATAATTACAATTACCTGGTGTCTCTAAATAATCAAGTTAAATTGCAAGCTAATCCAATCGTGCATATTCCATGAATAATAAAAGGATTTCATAAAGAAGTTAAATTAAATAAAATTATAAATCAACATCCATAGATTTAGAAGATATTTATATTGGAGATGCTTATAGAACAATCAAAAAGAAACAAACAAGTTTCAAGAATCATAATAATTTATATTTAATAAATAATAATAAGAATTCTATAAAGAATGTATTTGTTTATTGATTGTAATTATCTTTATCAATTTTTATCATTACTGAATCTTATTAATCTTTTCATTTACTTATTTTTCTATTCTAAAATTAATTTTCTTAAATTAAAAAAAAACATTAGGTAAAATTTTAATATAAAATGATAAATTATTTTTTATCATTTTTTAAACCCTGGAGAATTTTAACTGAAATCATAAATTATATGATTACTTCATTTATTTAGCTTTATTTAAAATCTATGCTTAATCTTAGTCACCCTTTTCTGCTTTATTCTTATCAGCTATTTTTAATTTAAATAAATATTTAATTACCTTCACTCATAGGTCCTAATTGTAAATCTTATAATCTTTTTTCTATATTAATTTCTTCAGCAATCTATTTAACTTGATTCCATAGTGGTGAATCTTTTCCCAAACTAATCAACCAATTTTATTTTTGCTTAATTTTATAATAAATTAAATAAACTTACAAGTAAAAATATTTATTATGGACCTAATATACTACCTGGTCTACAAATACGAATCCATCCTATAAAATCTGGAGCTGGAAATCTAAATATTAATTTCTATTTAAACTTGTAATGTTTAATTGCATAAGCTGCTATTAATGTACCTGTACGACCTAAGCCTGCTTTACAATGAATTGCTACGGCATTTTCCTTTTCAGCTATTTCTAAGAATCTTAAAATCTTATCATCTGATGGTACAGAACCATCAAGAAAATAAATTTCTTCATGTTTTATTCCATTTTTAATAAATCTCTATTCTTCATATGCTTTTCTATTTAATCTTACTACACAAGTAACTCCAAATTATTTAAATATAGGAACATAATCTTCAGGAGTAAAAGTACGATTCTATTTATTTAATAGTAATAATATACTCCATCTGAATCTTTTTAAGTTGAAGAAGGGCCTGAAAAAGCTATGAATTTATTTGGTATAATCCAATTGAGATCTCCATTGTCTACTCTTTCATAGAATTCATAATCTCTAAGATTGAACTTTCTAACATCAAACCATTTCAATTTTATAGCATATTCAAGTCCTCTCAAACAATGAAGGATCTTTACTAATATATTAAAACTACAGTGCATTTATAAGTGCATTATCCATAACTAGCATCTCTAAACTCCTAGAATGCAGGTTTAACATTCAAAAATGGTTTCCATGCATCATCTGCATTATATTTAAGAATTATGACTTAAAATGCACCCATTAAATATGCAGCATTAGCTCTTTTAGCACTATCTAAACTTGTATAATGATAAATAGCATATTTCTGATATGTCTTATCACTAAGCAATTTCTCTAATTCTGTTACAAATCGATAAGTGTGACCCAAATTTAATGGACCAAAATCAGCAAAAAATGGCTCATATACAAGATCCTTAAGATAGTATATATTGTACTTAGTCAATACAAAAATAAAAAGCATTTGGCTAATTACGAGGAGCTTATCGATCTGATATCCAATAGAGTCTATCTGTAATTAAGAATTGAATATACCTTTAATGATTTCTACGGATCCAAGAATAGGTGTTTGATTAGACTACATCTATTTATAATATTATGATGAATTTTTATAATCAGAAAATCATAGCTAAAATATGTATAAAGACTAAATTAGTAAAAGATCTTCATACTTTAGAATAATATAATTATTAATATCTTAACAAATCAAGTATATAATTATGTAGTCAATAATATGATTTACTTTATCAATTTATGAAAATATATATTTTATGATATATTAATAAAATCATTTATTTTAGTGCTGAAAATAATGTGTATTGATGATATTTATTTAACAAAACCTAAAACTAAATTCACTATTGAATCAGGATAGAATGATGATTTTACATATACTTGTGCCTCTATGTAAGGATGGAGAAAAACAATGGTAATTAAATTTATTAATTTTTTATGTAGGAAGATGCAATTATCAAAGAAAAACTATCAACAGGAGAATATTTATTTGGAATATTAGATGGTCATGGAGGATTTGAAGTTTCATCTGTTGTTTCCAAATATTTACCGCGCTTTTTAGAATCAAATATTAAATTTAGAAATAAAAAATATGAAGAGAGTTTAATGGAATCATTTATTGATATTGATAAATGGTTAATAACTCCAGAAGGACTTAATGCATTAGTAGAAGAGAGATTTTAAATGTCTATTGAAGATGGTATTATTATTTAATTTTATTGAAAGTGATAAAAAACATTAAGGATT